CCCGGATGATAATCCAACATGTGAAGTTAATATAAAATAATTGCTAAAAATCTATTAAATGAATTTAATATACTTTTTTAAAAAGAAAAAGAACCAGGTTTTTTTATAGGTAAGGGGGAAATAGTTTCTTGACTCGCATGTGTTTTCTGTTATACTTTCAAAAACAGCAGTTTGTCAGGATAGATAGAAAGGGCCAGGCAACATACAACTAGTAGAACTTTCCCCATATCTAAAAACATTTTGGCTTGTAGTAATTCTGAGCTTTAAGTATGTCTTGTATCTTTGTCTTAATTCTTTTCTAGAAAGGAGCTGACGTCAGCTAAGTATTTTCAGTGCTTTTCACTTGCTGGAATTTAGTAAATTGTTACAGAAGATTGGATGAAATCTTCATTTTCTAGTTACTTGTACAGTAGGACTGTTGGATTAGTACCTATGTTTTCACTTATCCACACCCTGGATAACCCCTCCTTCCAGAAATGTGTTTCCAGCATGTATTATCAGAATTGGCCACAAGAGGGAACCAGACACTATACTGTACAGTATTATATTTAGCATTTCTAGACCTGTGCTTTTCAGCATCTTGGGTCGGGAGGAGCAGTTTGGAACCAATCCTCTGAAGCATCTTCAGAGGACAGTTTGGAGCACTGTCCTCTGAAGATGTCGGTCACAGAGACTGGCGAAACGTTAGGAAGAACAACCTTCAGAACATGGCCAAAGAGCCCGAAAAACCCAAAACAACCATGGACAAATTGTTTTTTAGTTACTTTTTAAAAGTAAAAGTGTTTTACAGCCCCTAATTCAGGAATATTGGAGCAAAGATTACCACAGGTTTAAAACAGATCACCTAAATCAGCGGTCCCCAACTTTTTCAGTCCGTGGACCGGCTGGGGAAGGCATGCACAAACAAGTGTGTGCGCTCTCTCACATGGGCACAGGCATGCTCGTACGCATGCACAAACAGCGGTGTGGCACTTGCTTAGGCACGCTCATGCACATGTGCAAACAGTGGTACGGTGCTCGCATGGGCGTGCTGGAGCACGTGCACAGCCGCAAACAGGCTGGGCTGGCAGAGGGGCTGGAGGTCTGTCTCGGCGGCTCAGTCCGGCTCAGGCTATAGATGGCACTGGGCCGTGCACAAACAAGTGTGCGTGCTCTCTCACATGGGCACAGGCATGCTCGTGCACATGCACAAACAGCGGTGTGGCACTTGCTTAGGCACGCTCATGCACATGTGCAAACAGTGGTACGGTGCTCGCATGGGCGTGCTGGAGCACACGCACAGCCGCAAACAGGCTGGGCTGGCGGGGGGGCTGGAGGTCTGTCTCGGCGGCTCAGGCCATAGACGGCACTGGGCCGTGAACCGGGGGTTGGGGACCTCTGCCCTAAATTGTAAAGACCACTCTTGCTTATAGGCTGGCAGAGGGGCTGGAGGTCTGTCTCGGCGGCTCAGTCCGGCTCAGGCTATAGATGGCACTGGGCCGCGAACTGGGGGTTGGGGACCTCTGACCTAAATTGTAAAGACCACTCTTGCTTATATTTAAAAAGAATGGTTGGCCCCACCCACCTTTTTTAAAAATTTGGAAAGAATTTGGGCTGCAGGGGCTGAAGTGTTGATCTTTTAAAAAAAGACATTTCAAAAGGGGAAAATGCCCACTTTATTATAACACTATGTGTTGTAAAAGCTCACCAGTAGGAGCTCCACAAAGTAAAATACAGTCATGCCTCGCTTAACGGGCGCCCCGTTTAACGACAAATCCGCATAGCGACAAATTTTTTGCAATCGCTTTTGCGACCGCATTGAGATGTTTTAGATAGGGAAAAATCGCTTCGCGATGACAATCGCTTTTGCGAACGCATTGAGTTGTTTTAGATAGGGAAAAATCGCTTCGCGATGATCGGTACGCTGTTTCGCATACCGATCATCGCATTGCGATGATTTTCCAGCAGTTGATTGGCGGTTCCAAAATGGCAGCCGGGTAGTGATTTTCCAACAGTTGATTGGCGGTTCCAAAATGGCAGCCGGGTTAAAAAAAATGGCTTCCCGCTGTGTTTTTGCCCGGATTCCTCACTTAAAGGTGAGTTTTAAGCCCATAGGAACGCATTGAAGGGGTTTAAATGCTTTCCTATGGGCTTTTTAAAACCGCATAGTGATGAAATCGCTTTGCAGTGATTTTTGCTGCACAGATTATCGTCGCTATGTGGGGCGCCACTGTATTGTATACATACATTGGCAGGGGAGAGGGAGGTATTTTGAGAGTTGCCTGCATACATTGGCAAGGGAGAGGGAGGTATTTTGAGAGTTGCCTGGCAACTAACGGTCACAGAAACAGACCGAAAAGACAGGGTTTTTTAAGAGTTAAGAAAAAACAGGTTTGCTTTAAAGAAAAGAGTTGTTAAGAAAAAACAGGTTTGCTTTAAAGAAAATAATGTAGTAGCAATCTTCCAGAAAGTGAAACATCTTTTTCATATATTTTCAAGAAAATGGCATACATATGCAAAGCATTTTCCCTTACCTTAGAAAAACAGATAGCAGTTGTGTTTTGTTCTAGCACTATCAGTAAACATTCCCTCAGGATTTCAGAGACCACACAGTCTCATCACATAAGTTTTCAAAAAAGAAATTAGTTCCAAATCTGGAGCAACCTGAACTTTTAACCCTGTCAATCAAAGCAAAATGTGCTTCTTATATAGTGCTTAAAGCACTCTCTGGGCAGTTTAAAGTTTATTTATGCATGCTACACATTGCTCTGCCCCCCAAGCTGGGTACTCAATTTACCAACCTCAGCAAGAGGAATCAGAATCATGCTTCCAAGGAGGTTCTCTGTCTTACAGATATTAAGTTGCTTTAAAATTTATATAAAATTATTCAGAAGCTCACTCATTTAAGATGTGAAACAACTGTTACCTGTTTTGTGGCTACGGATTGTCTTCCTTGATGGCATAGTCCCCATTCCACCCATCTTGTCCCTATACAATTGATTGTTTATTTTAAAAATATCTCCAAAGATGTTATATGCCATCAAGTCACTGGGATTGTCTTCCTTGATGTCATAGTCCCCATTCCACTCATCTTGTCCCTATACAATTGATTGTTAATTTTAAAAATATCTCCAAAGATGTTATGTGCCATCAAGTCACTTCTGATGTGTAGTGATTATATGATTTAATGACCTCCCAAATGTCCTATTGTTAAAACCACTGCTCAGGTATGGCAAACCAACTGCCTCTCATGTTAGATTGGTTTTTCTTCTTCCTACCCTTCCTTCCTAGCAGTATTGTCTTTTTTAATAAGTTCTACTCATGTCTTGCAAACTAATAGCTGTGGATTCCTTTATTGAGTCAACCCGCCTCATATTAGATATTCCTCTTTCCTGCTGCCCCCATCACCACTTTCTACAATACAGCAATATTGTCTTTTCTGGTTAGTTCTATTCTCATTATATGTGCATGACAGAATAGCCTCAAATTACTCGTTTTTGGTCCAGTGAAAATCCAGCCGTGACTTGACTGAGCACCCATTTATTTGCCTTTTTGGCAAGTTACAATCTTTGCCAGCTCAGTACCTCTTCCTGATACCATTTGTGGTGGAACCAGGGATTGAATTAGTATGGCAGCTCTGTAGCCCTAGAGAATGAAACTGGGGGACTTGCATTTACATGGGAGTAGAAGATAATCCCTTTTTTGTTGATAAAGTATTCTCTGAAATGACAGATCTCTCCTGGGTGCAGTTCTGCAGGTGACATATTGTCTAAGCGGGTCTGTTACATGCTTTTAAAAACATGGAACAGCTATAACAGGCTTTTCAAGGAATGAGAAGTTATACAGCCACACCTTACAGTAATTGACTTTTATCCATATGTCCATTATGCTTTATGCTTACACAGTGGCTTTCATCTTCAAAGCACTTTGCAAACACCCATAATCACATCCCTCCTCCAAGACAATTACTTCATTGCTTAGATTAAGAAAGCAAAAGATCCTGCAATCTGGAGCTGGGATTACAAATTGAAAGGCCTTGACTTTTAGTCTTGAATTTAAATGACTAATCAGCTTTCTGAAATCAGTGGCATACTGCAACTTCCTTCAATGTCTATGGCAGTTAAAATGTTCCAAGGCTTCTCAGAAGGTTGACCATAACTGAACAGAAGGTTCTTCTAGTCTAGCATTCTCACTGTTGCCAGCTGGATGGTGTCAGAAAGCCCACAGGCTTTGAACGTTAAACGTTGCCTGCTTCAAATAACTGGTACTGGCACAATTTGAAAAAAGTATCTTGGCTTAATAAATAAAGACTTGCATTGTCCACTCTGTGCCCTTGCCCTGCTGCCTTGAGGTGCTACAATTAACCATACAAGTATTTGATCAATTATTATCTAATTGCAATATCCTAGTTTATTCTAAAATCGGGACTTCAGTTCTGTGGTTCTTATGAAGATCCCCAAAACCTGGGGAGAGGGCTCTAGGAATTTTTTTATTACAGTACTTAGAAATGGTTATGCCTCATGACATCTTTGTGACACAGCATATAGTTGGAGGACAGGATTTTAGCTAGTCTGTTGTCTGTTCAGCTCTTGGTCTATAGCACCATTCTTTCTGTAGTGCTTCTGAAGTGCTGCAGTTTGCCCCAGAGGATTAGGCAATACTGTGTTTGGATTTTTCTTGACTCCTAAATAGCTAGTATATCAATACAGATGTTGAACTAAAAAAAGAGAATACATTTTTTTCCTGGCAAGCTAACTTTCCATGAGCAAAGAAGTTTTTATTGTGGGAATTCATGCAGACATGGATGTTGAGGTCTAAGATTTCTGATCTTGGAATATGTGCCTGAAAACAACATTAGATCTTCAGACACAGGATTGAAATTGCCCTGGTTGAAAGCAAATTATTTCAATTAGTATCAAGTATTGATTCTTAGTTGTACTGTACTGAATGGCTTGTTTGCTGTATTCATCATATCAATGTGTTCTAACTTGTTCTTACTGGGATTTTTCTTCCCTTGACAGTGCTGTAGGTAAAACATGCCTACTCATCAGTTACACAACAAATGCCTTTCCTGGAGAGTATATTCCCACTGTGTGAGTATCTTTTTGAACAATTCTCCCTAGCATTTTCCAGTGTTCAAGCTGTATAATAATGCTTCCTATGTTTGCAGAAAAATGTGAGGGTGGTTGAACTTAAGGGAAGTAATTGCTTAAGGATGCTGAAAGAGTACTATGGCTGAGCAGGATTTAAACTTGGATCGCTTACCAATTCTTACCACAAAAGCAACGGCATCCTATGCAGACCTCACAGATTTCAATAGCACATTCTATGAGTCCTCAGCCGATGTCCTATACATGAATTAAACTACAGTTCCCATACTAATAAATGTTGCCACATTGGGGAAGGTTGGCAAAAGAGGTAGTTTCAAATGATTTACTTGGGGACCTTTAGTTTTCCTTTACACATACTGGCCACCAAGGTATTACTTACATTCACACACACGCGTGTGTTACTGTTTTCGTTTGGAGAATAACTGCCTCTGTGTCATATCACAAGCTGTTTCTATAACACAGTTTCAAAGACTGTTCCATATGTAGATTGGGGGCTGCTGTTCTAGAAATATGGGTCTAATGTCTCTTTGGGTGTATGAACCCAGTAGTACTGCTGTTTGGCTTTTTGCTGTTTTGGATGTACATTTTCTGCATCACCACATGTATGAAAAGTGCAGATATGAGGCTGGGGGCTGGTGATCTGTAGATATGGTGAGAAGTCCTGCTCTTCCATAGCTAGTAGAGCAACCCCTTTTGCAGTATTTTGGACTGCCTGTTTTAAAACAGAGGCAGTATTGTTTTAAGAGCAAAGCCATCATGTATTGCTTTCATTTGCTTTAGTGGGACTTAAGAAGGCATTCCCATGCATTAAGCCGCAGGTGAAAACATGTGCAAAATAAAACTTGTTAGTTCTAAAGGTCTTATTATAGTCCTTGTCCATTTTTCAGAAAAATATTCTATCTTTACATTATGCTTTAATTAATTAATAAAATGTATGCCAGTTTACATCATACGTTAAGCAACAAATATAAAAATAGAAATGTTGCAATCTCAAATTACAAAAGACTACTGTAAGTAAAGGAATCTTTTTTTAAAAGCTTATACCATTGTGTATTAAAGCTTGGACAAGTACAGACAGTTTGGTCTGCACAAAGGAAGGTGCCTGACAAAGCGTCTGGAGAGGATATTCTGTAACTTGGTATTGCCACATAAATGATCCTGTTTCTGCGGATGAGACACAGTCTTATCTGAGAATAAAATATCTCATGGGTTTCCAGTTATTAACAGCATGTTTTATCGAAATGGACTGACTAGTTTGGAAAAATTTGCTGACATTTCCTTCCTGTCCTATAGCTTCGACAACTATTCTGCCAATGTGATGGTTGATGGAAAACCAGTCAATCTAGGCTTGTGGGATACTGCTGGTCAAGAGGACTATGACAGACTACGCCCACTATCTTATCCTCAAACAGTAAGCCTTAATAGTGGCAGATTTGAACAGTTTGTGTGCTGACGGTGGTGGGCTGCGAACAGCAGTTTTGCAGAACCTTGGGAGCATTTACATTATAATGTAAAACAGAGGAGTTGGGACAACACACACATTAGTCTTTCCTAGCCCAAGGGGCAAACGAGATGCTTGTAGCAGCCTTGGCGTGAAAGGCAGAGCTCAAGAGAGTTGAGTAACTCCTTCACCCCGAACTGGTATCTTTCTCTTCCAGTACCTTTCCTGCCAGCTCTGCTTCAACTTTGCATTACCAAACCAACTGAGAAGCATAGATTCCTAGGAACCTCACTTGTGTAAGCCCTGGCCAAGGCTGATGTCATTCCTCATGGTCCCACCCAGCTATCCTGGAGTGCGTGTGTGTCTAAACAGGGTGGTACAGGGCCATAATGTCTGGAGAAATGGCGCTTAACAGCCTCCTCTCACAATACTATCCTTTCAGAGGTGATCCTGTGCTGCCAGCCAAACATGGAAGTAAAAGCATATTCACTTGACTCTGCAGGATGGCCACATCCATAACTGATGTGATTTAAGTAATTTTGCAGGACTGTCGTGTGTTCCTGTGTGACTCATGCAGATGAAATTCCAGTGGCTTTTTTCAGGATCTCTCACTCCTTCATGTGTAGTGTTGCAGTTGCAAGCTTCCTTTAAAGTAACAACTTTCTGCTTCCTTGCTACCATTTAATCACTGTTGCTTACATTTTTAACATGTAAAATGCTCCAGATTTTTAATTTACTCATCCTATGGACCTTATCTGTTGCTCTGGTTTTTTAAAAACTTTTTCCATTTCCTTTCTTTTATTTTGGGGAGAATAGAAACTGAAAGTATAGCTCTGTTGGCTTCTTAGCTAAATTCTTTGTCATTTAATGGCTTAATACCATGTCTGTTGGATCACGTTGCCCAAACAGTTACAGTCTATCTATGACTTGTTCAGAATATACCAGAATAACTTGAAGAGTTAAATAATAAATCTAGGGCACAGAAGGTCCTTAATGGGAGGTCAGCAACTTTGCTAAAAAGCAGCCTTTGTTTCTGGTGTTCAGGCACCGTCTGACACTATCATTGCTAAGCGCTGATGATGTTCAGCTTTTCACTGGGGTGCAAGAGATTAATTGTGACAGAGGGGCTCATTTAAATGAAAATACACAAGACTGTAGCCCTGAAATGAGTTAATTTTACTGGCTCTGGGTGCAGCAGTCTGGCAAAATTTATTGGTAGTCTCCTTGAATGCTGCTGTTAAATCATTATGTGCTCCTGCTTTCTCATTTGGATACAGGGCAGAAGGAATGAGGCTGTCTGCACTTAGGTCCAGTGACTACTGGATCTCAACTCTTTCAAAGCCAGTTTTCCAAAAATGTTGAGTTCAGCTTTCTTGCCCCAAGTTAAGGTGCCAAATAACGTGTTTATTATTTTACTGGTCTGATTCTTTACAAGGCTTAGTTGCCACCAGGTAAAGTAAGAAATGTTCAGTAAAGTTTCACTCAGAATGAAAACAATCCTTAAACCTCCCTCCTTGAGCCAGGTTTAAGGATCTTCTGATGTGATCATTGGGTTAATTATGACAACAAAAGTTGTTTTATTATTATTATTATTATTATTATTATTATTATTATTATTATTATTATTATTATTATTATTATTATTATTATTATTATTATTATTATTATCATCATCATCATCATCATCATCATCATCATCATCATCATCATCATCATCATCATCATCATCATCATTTTATTTATTTATTTATTGTTTTTATTTTTATTTATTTACTTATTTACTTATTTACTTATTTATTTATTTATTTATTTATTTATTTATTTATTTATTTATTACATAGGGTAGGGTGGAGAGTGTGCCTTGTAACATAAATAGCAAAACTACATTGAATCTAAACAAACTTTGATATTGTACTAGAAAGTTGCAATCAAGTTTTATTGACTAGTTTTCGTCTAGGTGTTTTGTGTATGCCAATAAAGGTTTTTTGATCTCATTTTGATTTGAAAACAAGCCACCTGAACCAATGAGCTGCATATACCGTGGTGCCTTGCTTAACGGGCGCCCCGTATAACGACAAATCCACATAGCGATTAAGTTTTTGCGATCGCATTGTGATAATTTAGATGGGAAAAAATCGCTTTGCAATGATCGGTAAGCTGTTTCGCTTACCGATTTTCGCATAGCAATGTTTTTCCAACAGATGATTGGCGGTTCCAAAATGGCTGCCAGGTAAAAAAATGGCCACCTGCTATGTTTTCGCGCCCATTCCTTGCTTACCGGGCAGTGAAAATGGCGGCCATATGGAGGATTTTTGCTTAAAGGTGAGTTTTTTGCCCATAGGAACGCATTAAATGGGTTTTAATGCATTCCTATGGGCTTTTTTATTTCGCATAGTGATGAATCCGTTTAGCGACTATTTTGGCTGCACGGATTATCATCGCTATGCAGGGCACCACTGTACTTGAAGCCTATATAGTGGAAAATAGCATCTCATACCTATGGAGACTTTGCTAGTTAACCTTAATTCTTGTAGTAAGCTCAAGTTTCATACCATTCAGATCTTGCAAGTTTGAGTTGGACATATTTTTTTCTGTTATAGACAAGAAGGAAATTTTGGAAATCTGTGTCCTCAGAATTGGCCGAACTATCAGCAATGATCCCGTTAATTTCTTTCTGATACTTAGGTTCTTGTACGCGTTGTCCTTATTTAAGGTTCCTGTGTGGAAAGCTTGTGTTTTCTTCATCATCATTCAATTGCCATGTAGGATTAATGTGTCACTGTCTTTCCTGGTTACCGATTGAGGCAGGTAGCGAGAAAGTATCACTGTCCCAAGACGCATGAAAGACAAGATCTCTCAAAAGTGATATTTACTGAGTAAGGTTTAAAATTTTTAATCTCTCTCTTCTAGGCATCAGAAACTGTTTCACTACTATGCCCTTTTTTTGGAACAGTAGCACAACCCATTTTGCATTTATAATTCTGGGGAATGGATTTCTTTTTCTTGCCTTGCTCATTTCCACCGTCAGATGGCAAAATAGGGCTTTTTCATCTCAGGAGTAAGGCACTGGGGTTGGCTATACTGCTGCTTCTGAAGGAACTGCTGGAAAGCCAGCAAGAAAACAGAAAAGGCTGCTTTGTTCCAAGAGCGACCTCAGCGTGACTCATTTGGGGCAAGTCCCCAAGTGACGAGGAAAACTTGCACCTCAGATGTGCTGCTGAGTTACTTCATTGAGCCTGGCTGAAAAAAAAAGAGTAGCAGCTTCTGTACTGTCCTTTCTGCTTTGGCCACTGACCTCTTCAGTTAATTGGTCAAAAGTGGATTAAAAATGCATGCTATGCCAGCTAGGGAGTAAAGAGCTTTCCAAGGATGTCCAAAAACGGCTTAACTACAGCAAACTGGAAACACCCAAAATTAGATTGCCTTCCAGACATATACATATCAATACATCCCTGTAACTTTGGGAGGATAGTAGTCCAAGCCTTTGGGCTAAATTTAATGGAGCAAGTACATTAGCTACAAGGTTTTTTGCTCTTTGCTGTACAGCAGTGCAGTGAAAACAAATTTGGTCAAAAGCTGTGAATGGGTCCCATAAACGAAATGTATTCGGCGGAGAACCCCTGTCATTTTAATGGAGTGCGCATCTAACTAAATGTTTCACATTTCTACCTTAGAGCTGATTTCGGTGTTTGGATGGATCACAAAGTAGATTATTTCATAAAACATCTGTACAAGTGACTGAGTTTGAAGAAAAAAATCTATTCCATATGTAGAAAAAAACTTGAGAAAATAAATAATTAGAACTCTTTTCTCAGTCTAGGCTAGCCTTTTGGAGGTTGACGGTGTTTTTGCTCTCTTTTTTTTTAATAAGGGACCCTTCAGTTTTGGAATCCCCCCCCCTCCAGTTTTGAAGTGCTCCCGTCTCAAGGTTTGGGCCATGTGATTCAACTGATCATTTAAGGCTGGAAAAGGCGCAAAGAGCTTTTTTTCCCCATCTAAAGTCATTCCTAACCTTAACTGAAGTTGTTTCATGCTATTACTAGGTTGAAGGAACGAATGGTAATGATTTAACTCCCAGGGTGAAACGTCAGCCACTCTGCGTATGTAAAATTTTCGACCATTAAGCTCCAAGCTCTTTCCTCTCTCTCTCTCCTCCTGCCCCGCTTCCGCTCCTGTAGCCATAAAACGGTGCCACAAGGGTCACAATACACATCCAAACGACCTCCGAGTCTCTGCCTCTAAGCAAACCTGTTCTTAAGGAACAACTCAACAGTTATGTCAGATCAGATTATTATTGTTCAGAGGCCACTAACTTGAAAAAGCTTTAGAGGTAATGTTTTTGCAAAGGGGAAACAATGAATCTGGGGGGATTGGCGAAAGGAGGTGATGAGCATGTGGCCGAGAGGCTCATTGTGACCGGCGAGCTGAAAAAGTTGCAGGTGGGCTGTTGGGGCCACAGGATCCTTTTTTTTAAAAAAAATCCACTCTGCTTCACCAGTTCTGCTGCATGGATCAGGCTGCACGTGCTTACCTGGGGAGGTGTCAAGGGGCCGATCGGAAGGCCTGGAGCTCTAACCCAATCAACTAACCCTAAAGTGCAACTGATTATTTCGCAGCCAAGCTCTTTCTCTCTCCCATTTAATGTGATATGGAAGTAGGCGTGGAGGAAGCCAGAAGAGAACACACACTGTTCTCATTGAGGGGAGTTAAGCATGGTTGTTTGTGTGGAACGGGACCACTTGAGTCATGTTGAGCATGGGATTGTGTGATACCCCTCGTGGCCGCATAAGACCAACCAGTGAGTGGCTGTGCCCTGGGGTCCGATTGACCGGACTGCCTTGGAATGCCAGGGATTTAAGAGAGCCAACAAGGTTGGCGAACCTCTGCAATCCCACAGGTGGTGTTGGACTGTGGCTCCCATTATTTCTACAGCACTCCCTGTCCCTAATTCAGAGCAAAAGGCTAGGGCTGGCTTCATAGACAGGAGATGAGGCAGCAACACTTCGTACTTTGGGCTATACAGTGATGCCTCGCTTAACGGGTACCCTGTTTAACGACGAATCCGCATAGCGATTAAGTTTTGCGATCGTTTTTGCGATTGCATTGCGATGTTTCTAATGGGAAAATATCGCTTTGCAATGATTGGTAAGCTGTTTCCTTACTGATTTTTGCATAACGATGATTTCCCAACAGCTAATCGGCGGTTCCAAAATGGCCGCCGGGTAAATAAAATGGCTGCCCACTGTGTTTTCACCCGGATTCCTCACTTACCGGGCAGCGAAAATTGCGGCCGTATGGAGGATTTTTGCTTAAAGGTGAGTTTTTTGCCCATAGGAACGCATTAAACGGGTTTTAATGCATCGCTATGGGCTTTTTTATTTCGCATAGCGATGAATCCATATAGTGACAATTTTGGCTGCATGTATTATCGTTGCTATGTGGGGCACCACTGTATAGTCTTAGGTGATGTTTGTCCTCCATGTTCTGCATGTTTTTCCCAGTAGCTGCATTTTCCTCTTCCTTGAAATCAGCAGTGGCTTTTTAATAGTCAGAAGCCCCATGTAATTTTTGTCCTGATCTTCAGGAGAATGGATTGATAAAAACATTGATAGTGGTACTAGGTGGATACCTGACTCTGAAGGAGGTGCCGCTAAAATAATCACATTGATATTTATCTTAACCTGATTCTCATAGAACAGACTTGTAGGAAATACAACCCACTGAACTTTATGGAATTTACTTCCAGGCCAGTGTGCTTTATTGTGCTGTAAGGCTATGGGTAAAACATTCACTATTTGCCTGTATTGCGAGTGGATACTCAAATTAACATCTGCTGGAATTAAAGCTTGATGGAATGTTTGAGTAAAATGTTAGGTGTGATAAGAAATTACACAGGAAGCTAATTGGTCAGTTACTCATATCTTCCAGTATTTCATGTGTTAACATACTTTTGCATCTTAAACTGCCAAATTTTTTTGTTTTAACGTGTTCACTACTGGCAGGCTGAGGTGCTATGCATTGGTAGCTTGGGCGGAACTAGATATCTGATTACAGTATATGGGAAACAATTGAACCACAAAAGTAATCTCTGGAGAATAAGATTCTTAAAATACTGTTTTGCAGGACGTCTTCTTAATTTGCTTTTCTCTTGTGAGTCCTGCATCCTTTGAAAATGTTCGTGCAAAGGTAAGTGAAAAACGGTGGCCTTGCATTCTTCGTTTTTCTATATAGATTTTAGCTTATTATTACGTTAATACTGTAATAATTACTGTATTAACAGTAGTGGAATAAACATCTTTAAATGCTTATATGAAAGGAGTTCAATATTACTTCTGAAAGAAGCCAACAAACAATGACTATTATATTTTAAAACAAGTGATTTAGATTTTGTTGGATGTTCTCTGTCCCTTGGCAACTGTTTTTCCAGAAAAATATTTAAAAAAAAATTCCTGGCAGGTCTGAAATTTTGGCAGGCAGCTACAGTATTTTCTCCCCCCTTTTATTAAAATCATGCTGGAAATTGCAATAATTTGCAAACACATTTGTTATTGAGCACTGCTGTTTTACAAAAGGCAGTGGCAAATGATCTGTGATGGAGGTGCTCAAGGAAGCAACTGATATTCCTGCTGCTTGCTTTTCATTTTGCCTGCTCGCCCTCATTTATTTATTTATTTATTTATTTATTGGACTTATATACCGCCCCATAGCGCTACAAGCACTCTCCGGGCGGTTTACAATTTTAATTATACAGGCTACACATTGCCTCATGGCAACTGGCTGATGGCAGGAAGAGGAGTGAGCCAGTTCTGCCATTCAGATTCTATTCACTGAATTGCTTTTCAGTGTTAAATCTATTAAAAACATGAAGAATTGCTGCCAGGGTCTGGATGTTTTCCTCTTCTCTCCCCACTCTTTTTCCTCTTCTACCAGTTAGATTTTAAGATGCAGAGAGAGGCTGTGTTGTTTAGTATTTGTGTGCAGTATTTTTTAAAAAACTGGTATAATGTTAATGAATGAATGGTTAAAGATTTAAGGTCACCATGTTAGTGCTCTAATTCTAATGTTTCTGAGCTCTGTTTCACATCTTGGATGTGTAAGCCTGCCAGAGAGACATGATTATGTTTTCCTTCCACCAGTGGTATCCGGAGGTGAGACACCACTGCCCCAACACTCCCATCATCCTCGTGGGGACCAAACTTGATCTCAGAGATGACAAAGATACGATTGAAAAACTCAAGGAGAAGAAACTGGCCCCCATTACCTATCCACAAGGCCTTGCCATGGCCAAAGAAATCGGTAGGATTTTGACCCCTTTCTAAGAGGGGGGGGCTTCTAAGTCACAAGTCTTGTGTTTTTCAAATCCAGTTGTGGGTCTCTAGAATTGGTTCAGGTGCAGTGAGGAAGGCAGCATTTCAGTCTCCATTGTCACGGCTGCTCGAAAGGCCTGTCCTCCCCCCCCTTGAGCTGGGGAGGTTGGGATTTGTGAATAATGAGGCTTTGTTCATGTTTTCCAGGTGCAGTAAAATACCTAGAATGCTCGGCGCTTACACAGCGAGGCCTGAAGACAGTCTTTGATGAAGCTATTCGAGCCGTTCTCTGCCCACCTCCTGTAAAGAAGAGGAAGAGAAAATGTCTGCTGCTGTAATATTCTTCCCTGGCACCCTGATCCCTTCTCAGAACCTTCTGTGCTTTGCTTGGAACAATGGAGCATTCACATCAATGCCAACTTTTCTGTTTAAAAATCAGTTCTCTTTCATCAAATTGTTTTGAACCAATCATGAGATTTCATGTTCCCTTTGTTTCAAAGTTTAGATCTTTTTTCCTTCTCTGGAAGAGATCCTAAGAAAGACAAACTTATATGAAAGCCTTATTTTTTTCCAAATCCTTTCGCTCAAATTAATCAAGTGTTGCCAAATTATCTGCTCATTATGTTGTTGCATTCTTGTGCTTTGTTATATGGAGCACAGAACCTGTTTTTTAAGTCAAACAGGTGTCTTTAAAGATACTAATGTTTATTAGAAATTGCAAAACTTTATAGGTTTTTTCCAGATGTTTTATCAGTAGGAATACTGATGTGTAATGCGTTCATTCCATGACAGTCATAGTATCCTCTCAAGCCTGAACAAATGCAATAATTCATAACAGATTACCCATTTTTTAAAAATAAAAAATGCTTTCCTGCTTAATAAGGACTTTGATTAAACAATTTTCCTTAAAGTATATTGTCTTCCTTGACAGTAGTATATTGTTTTGATTGGTGAAAATCATTTGAGCTGCTAAAGGGAGACAGCTCAGCAGTATTTTGACACAGTAAAGATCAATTTACACTACATTATCAACAAACTAGTTAAACTGAATGGATTTTTCTCTTCAGTAGTAAAAAAAGTAAGATGAAACCCTGCATTGCAACTAAACAATAACTAAAGAGGAGGTTAGTGTTTTTATAGATCACATATTTGCAATTTCCAGTAGGGCATTTACTACAATTTTGAACTGGTCATTCCCTCACATGTTCTTGCTAGATGCTTTTCTTATAGAACCTTTCCTTCCTGAGTAATGTAACTTGTATTTTAAAACCTTTCTGATTATATTTGCATTTTTGTAGAGTAGACTACTCAAGCATAGCCTTCTTTCTGCCTCTTCTCCCCCCCCCCCCATATACATGCTTTTGAGATGCTTTCTTTAGTCTTCTGGTGACTTGGTGTAAAAATCATGTGCAGCAGATCTACCAGTTCTAGTATTTTTTTATATATCCCATACCACCTTAATGACCTTTCTCATGTCACCATTTGCCAGGTATCCTGATGCTGTAACTTTACTAATGCAGATGTTGCCCTTTTAACCTCACTGTAAACACGTACCTCCTGTTGGGTGATCTAGTAACGGTAATTGGGTCTGTGAGGTTCTGTACTTTAGTGCTAACAGTGTTCCATACATCCTAAACGCTGGCAAGAACACACTGAACTACAACCTTTCAACTACTAGAACAAAGAACAATAAATGGAGTTTGCAAGATTGTGAAGTTTTTACATTGATCTTTTTGGTATGCAATTTAGCAGTATGTTTTGCATGTATGACTTAATAAATTCTTGAATCACAGTTGTGGAACAGCCTCAGTTTGTGTATTGCATCTCAGTATGGACAAGATCTCTACCAGTCCCATAATACTGTGGCAAAAGACTGCCAATATCAGGGTCAGGATTTAATTCTGCAGGAATCTGACACGATTTACGAACTTTGAAGATAGCAACACTCTTCCTTTTGGTGGAGTAGATATGCAAATCAATATAATCCCCCTCAGTGTTTTAAAACAATAGGTTAATATTGGGTAGTGTTTTTTTTTTTTAAATCTCCCATCATAAAGTATTTTTCTAGTCTAGCTTTAGGCAGGAATCCCTATTGCTGATCTCTCAGCTACAAACCACAAAAGGTTTTGATGTTCTCCAAAAACCCGTGCCAATGTTCTGTAGTGCCATCCCAGCTGTGCATCTGATAGACCAGTTCCTTGTTAACACCTCCCAAAATTCAACACCTCTTTTTGACTGAAAAAGATGTACTATTGATTTGCAAGGTTATATAATACAGTCTTGAGTTTTGTAACTTCTCCTCAGCTATGTAACAAGACATATCCAATGAGTCCCCTACATTCTAAAATCCCCTCTTTCTTCATTCCTGCATTCTGTGTAAAAAAAAAATCTTTGTCTCGTGCAAAAACCGTACAAAAGGTTTGGCTTTGTTTCTGAATGAAAAGGACAGTGGTAGTTTTAGAGTGTTAGTGTGAAAGACTATTTGATCTGCCAGTTGCTTAGCAGCGGTAGCATTCGCAAAATAAAACAGTGGCTTAATTTTGTGAAAATATAAAAGTTCATGGTTCCTAGGTAATAAAACTGCTACTGGTTTATTTAATTGCCCCCTTTTTATTGACATTCCAGTTCCATTTATAAATCCTTCATCCCTGGAACAGGAGGCTGAAGCCATAAGTTAATGCCACTACAAGGGCCAGAAAGGAGTGGTGAGTAAAGACTTCTCCGCACGTGCATGTTCTCTCTAGCCCAGAGGTCTCCAAACTTTTCAGCAGGAGGGCCACATTATATATGCTCCACATTTTTGAGGGCTGAAGGAAGATGTGTGTGCACGCAGACTACTGCACACATGCCTGCCCGCCTGCCAGGCTGGATGTGGCCCGTGGCGCGTAGTTTGGAGACCCCTGTTCTAGCCCATAACATCTCTACAGTGTTATAACGGGTATTAGCAGACTCTGTCAATTTTTAAAACGTAAAGGAGGTCCTTAACAAAATTGTCATAGGAGTACTACCACCATCAGAAAATGACATGAGCCATTTTGTGTTCAACAAACAATAAATAAGCTTCATTGTGAGAGGCCAGGTCCTTCGCACACATTTTAACTGTACAAGACAACAGGCAAGACATTCTGAACAACAAAGCAATGTCTCGATTGTGAGTTCACACAGTCCTTCCAGGGTGTCCTAATGCAGAATTATTAATGCAGGATGCACGCCACTGCTGAGAATGGGTTTTTCACCCTCCTGTCAGCGTAATTAAAATGCATATTCAGCAGGGTTGAAAAACTGTAAACAAAAACAGACACGTATTACACATATATCCACGTAGCTTTTAAGCCCACAAAAGGGATCTAAAAATGCAAGCTTCATTCAGTAGGAATGAAAATCGGGACATTTTTTTACTTCCATGATTTGTGCAATAAAAGGTTGTGAAGTCCAGATCACATCGCTGAGCTCTCCTTGGCATATCCAGACTGGTAGTAAAATTGTCTTTAATTTTCCTCTTCCCGTTATTCTTCACTTGGGAGTTAACAAGTGCTTCATAATACTGCAGGTATATCCAGCTCTGGGGAAGAGCAATGCCGGATGGCAGAATCTCTTCCACCGGTGCGCATAGCACAGAGGTAGCAGAGTTAAGTAGTCTTAACACTTGCCCTGGCCACGAGGTTCCATCTCTGCCAGTCAGCTTGTTCTCAGCTCCAGCTGCCAGTCCGCATCGTCTTTGATTATAACTGATATAACAGGTACCTTTGCTCTTCTTAAATTGAAGCAACTCATCTTAAAAATGACCCAGGAAATAGAACAGCCCAGAGGAACCCCAGCAGCACGAACTGTGTGTGTTTCTCCTGAAAATCACAACGGCATAAACCCAACTTCTACCGCAGGCAAGATTTCAATACAAAAGTGCTGCTCTCATGAACACTTGGAAACTGGCATCGTTCCCGTCCTTCCAGGTCCCCAGTTATACAATGTTCGTAGCTGATTCTCCTTGTGCTGGACAGGACAGACAAGATGTGTCTGCTTGAACCAAACTGTCAAGAGCTTTGAGAATGATATCTGGCATATGATCCGTTAACATCTTGGGACTTATTAAAATATTACCAAAGGCAGTTTCTTTTGACCAGTCTGCAGCGTACTTGACCTCTGAAGAGCACCACCTAGGAAAAAAGGGGAAACAATATCAATGGAATTCTCTTTTCTCCCAGAACTCCTTTCAGATGTCTTCTTTGTAAACACATGAGGAAGTCATCATAGCAGGAGCCAGAAGCAAGCCATTACCTATTAGGAGGCAACACAGGGCATTTTTGTATCAAGTCTGTTCTCCTCTCAATGTACTTTGGCTTAATATGCATTCTGAAACCACTGGACATCGCAGCAGATCATTCTTTCTCTGTTGACAATTGACGGAGTCTCAATGAAAGAATCTCAATTTCTTTTTAATGTATCAGCACAGCTGTATATACATTCATGTGGGACGTTATGGCGCTGCGGGTTAAACCGCAGAAGCCTCTGTGCTGCAAGGTCAGAAGACCATCTGTCGTAAGATCGAATCCACGCAACGGAGGGAGCTCCCATCGCTTGTCCCAGCTCCTGCCAACCTAGCCGTTCGAAAGCATGTAAAAATGCAAGTGGGAAGGTAAAACGGCGTTCCCTAGGGACACTGGCCACATGACAATGGAAACTGTCTTTGGACAAACGTTGGCTCTACAGTTTGGAGACGGGGATGAGCACCGCACCCTAGAGTCGGACAGGACTGGACTAAATGTCAAGGGGAACCTTTACCTTTACCTATATACATTCATGGTTTGCAGGACTTCTTGAAATCAAAACTAGTTTTTTTAAAAAGCCACACTACACTAGAACATGGTGGCGCGGTGGCGCTGTGGGCTAAACCGCAGAAGCCTGTGCTGCAGGGTCAGAAGACCAAGCAGTCGTAGGATCGAATCCACTTGACGGAGTGAGCGCCCGTCGCTTGTCCCAGCTCCCGCCAACCTAGCGGATCGAAAGCATGCAAATGCAAGTAGATAAATAGGGACCACCTCGGTGGGAAGGTAACAGCGTTCCGTGTCTAAGTCGCACTGGCCATGTGACCACGGAAGATTGTCTTCGGACAAAACGCTGGCTCTATGGCTTGGAAACGGGGATGAGCACCGCCCCCTAGAGTCGAACATGTCTGGACAAAAATTGTCAAGGGGAACCTTTACCTTTACCTTACACTAGAACATTGGTAACAGTTAAGTAATAATTATTTCCATTTTTCACATACCAATGTTTGAGCACATATAATGCTGCCCAGTTTTCTATTAAAACAAGTGCATCCTTTTTTCAAGGGCAGACAGGAAAAGGAAGCAGAGTTTTAAAAATAGCAGTAGTCAAGCTTCACACATTGTCTTTCTGCATGTCCCCATTTAAATCTGCAAGGCCTGAATTTGGAAATCTATGTGAAAGGAAGTCAAAAGTACAGACTACTTTGAATGTATAATCCAATCTGTTGTTTCTTAGCAGATAGCGAGCAATGCAAGCACAGTAAAATGTTACATGTGTGGTCAAAAGGTCATATATTATCAGGTTTCAAAATAAGGGAAGGGAACATGGAGGACCCGATACTGCTCCTGTCACCACTGATCATCGCTCATGCTGTTTGGGGCTCTGACAGAGAACAGTGCCTGGTCACTGAGGACAGGCGTCAATCACTTACCTTCTTGCGCTGTTTTCTTCAACAATATGGATGATTCTCCCAGGCAGATAGAGATGAGGATACTGAGGAGGGGAACTTAACGGTGAGTCGTCATCAATAGTACTGTAAGAAGGTGACCGATTAATCATTAAGCTCTCTTCAGCGAGGAGAGGCTGGGCCAGAGCGGCTTGATTTCGACCATCCAGTTCAGTCGGGAAGTTATCAGGTTCGCCTCCAAATACTTCATACCAACATCCATGCAACAGGATCTGGTACTGCGCCACAGGAAAACAGAAAAGGACGCATGAAGGAGATGGAAAGTACAGTAGCGAAGCCATTTAGGTCACTGCGGTTATTTCATTTTGCACACCCAGATTATAAAGAACTTTCAGCTTTCTTCCAGAATGGAGGCCGACTGTGCAGCTCAGTTCTAGACACACACACACCCCGCCTACCCCCATATCTCGGGAGCCTGGACACAAAAAAGAAACCAGGAGATGCAAGAGATCACCTGTGCGCAAGGCAGGCAAACTGTAGCTCTGCAAATGGAGGGATGGCAAACTCCCCTCAGACCTCACCTGGCTAGTCAATGGTGAAGCTTGTGTAGGAAGTTAAATGGACTGAGGGTGAGACCCGGGTTTCAGCCCTGAAATGCCCTGGGTGACCTCAAGCCAGTTGCTTGTTCTCAGTCTCATACAGAAGGGGCCTCATCCACAGAATCCATTGATTCACTTATCCACACTCCAGAAATACTAATTTTTTTTTTAAAAAAATCTAGAAATACCTATTTCTAAAGGTGAAATTACCAGAAGTGGTCACTAGAAGGAGTCAAAGACAATGCTATGTATAGCATTCACTCTTCAAATAGTGCTCATGATGCATTGCTAAGCATGCATTGCTAAGCATCGGCAAGGGGAAGTGAAACTCAGGCCCCATGGATATGGGGATCTGACTGTACTCTGGTATTTGGGGCCTTTGTGAAGAGAGTGGGGAGAACAAGAACCACCTTGAGTGAGAAAGGCAGGAGATCCTGAACACAATTAAAAACTAAGAACTTGTCCACTCTGAGCATTTGATTCAACCTTCTTCCCCCACTCATAATATCAGAGCTTTTCCCATTGCCCACACACAACACAGGATTGAAAATTGGCAGCAGAGGCAAGGTGGGACAAAAAAAGTTTATTTTCCATCTTTTTTTAACATTCACCACTAGTTGATGATGTATTTTTCTTTCCCTTTGGTCCCATCTCCTCCAGAGCAAGATCTGCTCGTGAAATCCCTAGCATGACATGGTTCTGGGCTGATCTGGATACCTTCTGGGTGTCTGACAATAGATGATGTTTTGTTAAACCTTTCCTAAAGGTTTCCATCCCTCTGCTTTAGCCATCCGTGTGATCTGTGGGTTTAGCTTTCATGAGCTATTTCTCATCTCATGAGAAATACCTCTTCCTGCTGTCAGTTTTTCCTCCCTCTCTCTCTCTCTCGTTGTCACATAGATTTAGCTTGAAGGCCCATAGGCACTTATTTAAAAAAACACAGGAATACAACAGGGCAAAATCAACAACATCCCAATGTAGTTGTTCTCATTTCCCCCCACACACAAATATCTTAACATGCAACCAGCTTTCCCTATTTCTTTTCCTTCTTCTAATAACGTTGCAATGCCGCATGCATATTTTCCTGCCCAGGGATGGTCTTACCGGGGTAGGATATCACTGGTTGTTTGTGGTGCTGCTGCCCTAAGCAAGCATCCACTAAACATGGTGGTGCAAAAGCTCAAAAGCAAACAAACAAACAATAAATAAAAAATAAATTGAAAGAAAAGCCCTGGCAAACTCACACAGTAAAATAGATGGATAGGTAAAAACCTGGAATGTATTCGCGAAGGCTTTCATGGCTGGGATCTAATGGTTGTTGTGGGTTTTTTGGGCTGTTTGGCCATGTTCTGAAGGTTGTTCTTCCTGACGTTTCGCCAGTCTCTGTGGCCGGCATCTTCAGAGGACTGGAGAACAGAGCACAGACAGAGTTCCTACTCCAGTCCTCTGAAGATGCCGGCCACAGAGACTGGCGAAACAAGTTTGAGAAAGATGGGTAGGGGCAGGGAGAGAGAGAGGAGTGAAGCGGGCTGAGTGAGGAGGACAGAGTCTGGGATGATGTATTCAAATCGGCACCCAAAGAAATAGCAGGATGACTCAGAACAAGGCGGCCAATTGGGGACAAGGCCATCACAGGGGCAACCCAGAGCTGGGCCCCTCTTTCTTTCTTACCTTCGGTCTGTTACAGTTGGCAACTATCCGAATGATCCTTCTCTTCAGGTCTTCCATGTTCGGCATACTTAACCTGTTTGATACAAGAGACCAACATTGTGGGGAGGATTCTAGATGACTGAAGGCAAAAGGACATAGGCTTCACAGGGGGGAGGTGGGTGGGAAATGCTGTTAAACAGCATCCTTACCTTGGAACAATGTCTTTCCCAAGAATGACCGACACAATAAACTGTTTGGTATAGTCTGCAAGCGATTTACTTAAAAGGAAATAAGAGGAAAACAAACAAAAAAATCCATAAATGAAATGGACACTTTCAGTACTGATACAGATGTGCTTTTAAGTGGTATTTCCATTGGCCTAAAAATAAATGAAACCAGTAACATTCAGAAGAGACCTGAAGCAAGAGCAAATCACACCTTTACACAAAATGCTCTCAGAAAAAGACACCTGCGACTTGATTATTTCAGTTATGAATCTTTATTTTTCAAACGTTGGCATAATCAGAGTGTTTTCCAGAAATGCAAAAGTGCTTGCACCAACACCTGGCATTCCGAATCAGGCTACCACGTGCCACTTTCCCAATGTGCCAATGTACACACACAGTTCTGCCTACCAAATGCCCGGAAACCTGTGCACTCAGGGAAACACTGTTCACCACAGAGGATCACGGCACAAGATCCAGTTAAGATCGGAGAAGAATCCAGGGTTACTCAGAAACACCAGTTCTGTGCATTCCCTTCCACCTGCACTAGCACATGAGGAAGTGACAACATGGTGCGCAAAGCACTAGCAAGCCCCACTGTACACATCCAGCGATCGCTTCGAATCCTGATTATGAACAGCCAACAGCAGATTCTACTGCGGTTTTTGTTTTATAAAACAAGCATTTCTCTATCTGATTTTTAGATTTTCAGCAACGGTAGTTCGTCTTCATCCTGATCTTTTCCAACGCAGAGGAAGGAACATGGGGCACTAAATAATGGGCACCAAGATAAACTAGAGGTATTGCAGTCAACAATGGTTATTCTTTAGGCACAATTGGGCAAATTTTTTCCTATCAAGACCCACATTCTCTGGAGGGTAGGGGGTGGGTCGGCTATTGGGAACCACATGCCAGCAGTAGCTACATCATCTCTGCCCTGCTGACCTCCCCCCTGCACAGTAGCCAGAGAGATCCACTGATCACTGCAGACAGCTGCTGAAGTTAGGGTGAGAGATAGAAAAAGCCCATCTTTGCCTTACTCAGAAAACTGTGTATGTTTATCTGAGGGACCTGAATTCATCGGGTGTATCCTGTTTGGGTATATCCTTTTTAGCTTTAAAAATGCAATATTTCCCCTGCTGCATGACTATCCATCACATGACAACCAAGACAAGACTCAGCACACAGGACAGAACGACGAGGGTGCAGGAGGAACACTTACGGAATTGCCCCTCCACATATCTATAACCGAGGGGGTTCCCAACCATAGGTGACCCTGATGTTCTTGGACAGCAGCTCCCAGAAACTCTGGCCAAAACAGATGCTGGTAAAGGTTTCTCGGGAGTGCAGTCCAAGAACATCCGGGTTATCCAAGGTTGGGAACCACTGGGGTAACCACACAGGACACAAGCCAGAATATCTAAGCCAACTTGACACCATGGTTTGCTTGTTTGTTTGTTTAATTAACTTATATACCACTCGCACTACCCAAACATCTCTGGGCGGTGTACAAAGGCAGCCCCATGTAGAGCGCATTGCAGTAATCTATACGGAATGTTACCAGTGCGTCTGTAACTGTCATGGGACTCCGTTCATCCAGGTAGGGCCCTAGGTATAATTTCTATAGCTGAAGGAAAGTGCCCCTGGCCACCGAGTCCACCTGGGCTTCCAGTGTTAAATTGGGGTCCAGGAGCACCTCCAAGCTGCAGACCCTGTCCCCTAGGGGGAGCATAACCCCATTCAGGGCGGGGAAATGGCCCTCCAGCCTGTCCAGCGAAGCACCCACTAACAGCACTTCTGTCTTGTCTGGATTGAGTTTCAATTTATTAACCCTCATCCACTCCATTATCAGGTCCAGATAAGAGTTCAGCACAGAAACCGCCTCACCTGGATTTGTGGAAAATGAGAGGTAGAGCTGAGTGTCATCAGCATATTGCTGACTCCTCAGCCCAAACCTCCCGATGACCTCTCCCAGCGGTTCCATGTAGATGTAAAACAGCATATCAGCATATCATAAAAACATCTCTGGTGTATCACAACTGAACTAAGCCCCAGACTCAAGATTCTGTTCTGTTCCTCAACTTGTTTTGTTTCTAAATGGAAACATAGACATTTACCTTACTAAGCCTCCTGGTGGAGAAAAGGCATAACATTTCAGATTTGGGAAGGCATTTTTGAGCATGACAGCCAGTATGGAGGCTGTTCCCCCTCCTAAACTGTGGCCAACAACAACCAGTTTATATTCCTAGGGATGAAAGAAAGAAAGAAATTAGAACCAAGACAAGTATCCTGATCAAATGGTAGACTCAGCTCTATGGCTGTTTTACTATATGTTAAGAGCACAAGTGGAAAAACTTGTGCTCTAACATGGCCACTCCGGCCTTAGTCTTATCAAACTTAGCCACCCCCACCCTCCACCAAAACCCGAATTTTCTCCAGGCAAAATGTAACTTACTGCTACTGAGAATCTCCATGCTTAGCAAACCATGTTTTCAACTGGTTGCCGTCAGCCAAAATATCTGTTTTTCACAGTGAAAGTGGTTTTCCAGCTAATCCCAGGTTTCATGGCGTTCCTTTTGCTTTGTTTGGGACATGGCACTGCCCTTTCGGCAGTCCAGTGAGCCTCCAGGGGGCCAAAAACTTGGTTTATGGATCCACTAAAGTTGCCCAGCCCTGGCCTACAAATAAATAAACTGACTCAGGGAAGTCAGTAATGCTTTTTCCCCCTCTAATGCTTTTCTCCTGGCATTGCTCCCTTATAATGCCCAAAGCAGCTCCACTAATAACCTATACCCTCCCCCTATGGAAAGACCTACTTTACTAACATTATGTCCATTATTTTTGCTGCGTTTACTGTTTCTTCTTGTTGGTACATATTTGCATTAAAAAAGAAAAAAATGAAAAGAAACACAGGTTCAAGGGGAAAGAAAGTAGCAAAGCCACTGCCACCAGAAACGAAGGCTGCCCCCGGGATACCCAACTTTTGAAATTAGCAACTTACAGGAGCAATGGTGAAGGCCTGGTTCAAAATCCCATCGTTGACGAGTCTTCTGTAAATATAGTTGGCAGCCTGAGTTATGCCCTAGGAGACAGAATTTTTTTTACACAGATGAGGACAGGATCTCTATGGGACAACGGTATTTTGCAACACATTTCTTGTAACCTCACAAAGGAGGCGTGAGAGAATTCTGGGAGCCTGGAATGGGCTGCTTTGAAGGGGATGCGCTCTTCCAGATTGGAGGATTTAAGGCAAAAGGTTGGAGGGCCACTGGTCAGGGATGTTTTAGCTGTGGATTTCCTGCAATGGCAGGGGGCTGGGCTGGATGGCCTCCGAGATCCCACCCAGCTCTACAGGGCTAAGATTTTATGAATTAATTGCTCAGAAGGTGAGCAGTGCTCCTTCCTCCACTGTTGAAGGCTCCTAAGCTTCTGGAAAGATACTTTCCAATATCAACGGACAATTCCTACAGGGGCTCTGGAACTGAACTAACACTGTACAATAAATATGCACTATTTTGCTTCCAAGTGCAATTCAGAATGCTTGTTTTGGGACCTAAATACATGCACGGCCACCTCTACTCATATAAACCAATTTGCTCTGACACTCAGAGGAAGCTGTTTGACCTTGAAGTATAGTTTTGCCACCCAAGCTGCGGAACTCACTGCCTCATGAGATCAAGCTGGCACATGCGAAAAGGCAAATCTTTTGCAGAGATGACTTTGAGATGGGTATACTCTGAACTGGTATCTGCAAAGTTTTATTGGCTGTCCCGTTTTAAAAATATTATTTTTGTTTTATTGCTGTTTTTTTTAACACAATTTTGGAAAGAAGAGGGAGGGCACAGAAAAGAACATGGTATAAGTGGTGGCTCCCAAATGGTCGTGGTGGTGGAGCAGTGTGCATATCATTTTTTTTCTCTTTTTAGTTTTGTACTAGATATTTTAATGTGTATTAATTGCTTTACATTTTTCAATAAAACAACTTTAAAAAAACTTATAATGGCCATTAGTCAGCTTGAGGATTTTGAAATAGAAAAGTAGAATACAAATCTGTTAAAAACTACATGTCAGAGAGAGCGGCAGTAGTGAGGGCTTGCCCTCCTTCTACAGCGTTTCGGGTTATCGATTCTTTCGACAGAAGAGAGAAAAGCCAGCCGCCATGACCCCAGACTTCCACTTTCTCCCAACAGCCTTTGGCTGACTGGCCAATCCCAAGCTCCGGCTGTAGAAATACTTGCCCACCTTATGTACAAGACCGTTTTCGAGGACATTTTCCAGAGTTAGGTTTTCAGTGTCTGCTGAAAGATCTGTGAGGACGTCCTGAAAAACAGAATTAAAAACATAACAGGGTAAATATTTTCACTGCTTACCAGATGCGAGGGTACATTAGGCAGATATGTCGAAAGCAAAGACGGCTTCTGATATGTTAGGTGTATCGTACAGAGAGACGAAAGAAACCCCCAGAGCACAGACAGAGTTCTGACTCCTGTCCTCTGAAGATGCCGGCCACAGGGACTGGCAAAATGTTAGGAAGAACAACCTCCAGAACACAGCCAGACAGCCTGAAAAACCCACATTAGCCATCGGATTCCAGCAGTGAAAGCCTTCGAGAATATCCTTAACCAGACATTATTCTTGCATAAGATTTTCTCATTCACCCTGAGGTTAATTACTAACACCAGGATCTAATGACATGCTTCTGCTGGATCCCATGAGTGAACTGGGCTCCAGAATCCTCCAGTACACCCTAAAGCTTTTCTGCAAGGCTGGAACCTGGTCGGGGTTTTACTGCTACCAGGAACTACAGAGAGAAGGTAGGAAAGTCTCTGTGTCACTAGCACTGGGAGTCAAAGTGGGCTGTTGAATCTTGGGCTCAACATGTTTGGATTCCCACAGTCACAACCTTGACTCAACGCTTCAAAATCGTGATTCTGAGGACCTTTCACTAGCAAATGCCTAGGGCCAAGCAAATATAGATAGTCATGCAACCTAAGCGTCTCACAAAAGTGTTACCTCAAACGACAGGGTTCCTCTCACAGCTACGACGATAGCTTCTTTTTTGTGATCCAGAGCAACAAAGAACGGTATCTCAAAAATCTGAAGGGGGAAAAAAATCCAACGTTAATTCAGGTATAAAGGCAAGAGATTTTAATTAGCATCAATCTGTGCAGCACAGCTTTGAGTGGGATGAGACGGAGACTTACACCAAACACTTTCAAAATACATGAAGATGGAAATATTTATTCTCTTAGAAAAGTCTTTCCGGCTGCCTTAAATGGAGGACTGCGCTTAACAACGAAGGTTCATCTTTGGCCGCTGAGACCTGTCGCCACAACTGGATCTACGTGCCACTTTGGCTGGCTGGACAACTCAGTGAGTTAGGTACCTGGTGGCAGAACCAGAAGTTGGGAGGAGTTGGATTTCCCCCCCCCCATGGGGCCTCCTGGGAGAAGAGCCAGCCTGGCCTTGGGCAAGCTGCACCATCCCAGGAAGGCCCCCAAAGAAGGGAAGGGAAGGGCAAACCACTTTTGAATACTTCCTACTTAGAAAACCCTGGAAAGGGTCACCATAGGTCAGCATGGACTTGACAGCACAGAATTAATTTTAAAAACTGAGCTAGTCATTAGTGCATTGTCCAATGGGGGGGGACCATTTGTCTCTTTTAACAATAACTGAGTCCCTGAATGCAGCTTTCAGTTAAGCTTGTTTTTAAAGTTTTAAATATTTTCAATCACTCACTATTATAATGTAATTTTTTTTAATTTATGATTTATTGCGTTTTTATTTTTAAACACTGTGAGCTGCCTTGAGTCCCATTATTGGAAGAAAGGCAGCCTATAAATGAGACACGAAAGAAAAGAAAAGAAAAGAAAAGAAAGAAAAGAAAGAAAGAAAAGAAAAGAAAAGAAAAGAAAAAAGAAAAGAAAAGAAAAGAAAAGAAAAGAAAAGAAAAGAAAAGAAAAGGAAGAAAGAAAGAAAGAAAGAAAGAAAGAAAGAAAGAAAGAAAGAAAGAAAGAAAGAAAGAAAGAAAGAAAGAAAGAAAGAAAGAGCTTGGAAGAGTTTTGTTTGAATTCCTTACTTTGTTGTGAAAGCTTATGTGAATGAAATCGCGATACTCCAGCCCTGTTATTTTTAAGATAGATCCAAAATGCATGTTAAAACGGTCATCGCCAACAATATCCGTTTCTGCTGGGCTTCTGCAGCTTAGAAATCAGAAGGAAAAGAGGAGATATAAAAACTCAGGCCAGTTAAAGTTTCCCTTCTGTAGCAAATCCTGCTGGAATACAAGCTCACACAGACAGAAACATCCTACGGAACTTGCTAGCACGCAGCTAGTAATACAGCATTTGCTGCGGTGGCAATTGTACAAGAAATACATTAAGTTGGAGAAGCTGGTTCTTTCTACATCGTTTGTCGTACAAGAAATACATCAAGTTGGAGAAGCTGGTTCTTTCTACATCATTTAGGCTGGGTTGAAGTTCCTGACTCAAGAACTGGAGCAGATTCCTCCACTGAATCTCCAAAATTAGTTCCCATCGGGTATCCCCTGCCTAAAGACGGAGCCAATACAGAAACCTAAGGCACAGAAGCTCCTTAGAAAGGCACACACATCCACAAATATGTTTAGTCCAGAGTTTGGGTGGGTCCCCAAGAACAAAGTTACTGCTTCAAAGACAAAAAGGAGTAATTCTTTCTTGCTCTAACTTTTAAAACAGCAATATTCTGCTGTCCTGTTGCCCAGGAAAAACTAAAAATATTCCTTTTTCAGTTACTTTTAGATAACAGCAAAAACAGCTACCAGCTATGGGCAAACATGGTTAAGTCCTGTGGCCACAAATACCTGGTAACTACAGAATTAAAACGTTATAGTTAAGACTGTAAAATACAGCAGAGCGATCTCTTGCTAGGCACTGGTTGCAAACTGTAATACAACTAAATTTCATCTTCATTACTGGATGGGATGGGACTAGTTGCAAGTAACCAGGTATTTGTAAGCTGTCGCTTCCAAGCTCCTTCTTGCACCTTCTTGTTGCACCTGTTTTATTAGGCATCGCTAATAAAACAGGTACTTTTCTTTAAGAAAGACACGGTTGCCAATGACCACAGTCTCTGCAATTTGCCTTTTCAGACATGACAAGGTCTTATAGGTAATGGTGGGCAGGAAGCAGCTTTAAAGAAGCCTTAATTGCTTACACTGCAGTCCTCTACACACCTCTTTAAAAGCAAGCCCTACTGAGCTCAGCAGGATTAACTGCCAAGTAAGTGTGTACAGGATCGCATATTACTTTACCAAATTACTCCCGTAACATACAGACAACTACATATTTACTTATTTATTAGTGTTAGTAGCACTTAGTGCAGAAAAAGAATATATAGCTATATTATGGACTTGAATCTATAATCTTATTTTTTTAAACGAATAACCTGATTCCCTCCCCATTATTTATAATTATTACAAAAGCCAGGGCAGTGGAGAGGCAGATTTTTGGACTAAGACTCAGGAGACCCAGGTTCAAATCTCCACATGGCATGAAAACACCCTAGTTGGCGAGAATAAGTCAGGCACTCCTAGAACATATCAGATACCTCTAAAACCCTATCAGGGTCTCCATAAACAAGAAGCAACCTGATGGCACTAAGAAATAACTATTTTTACAACTACTAAACTATATTTTAAAAGATGGGTGTTCTTTCAAAAATAAAAGAACAGTCAACGGCTCTGAAATGTGATTTTCTGCACGGGATTAGGAAGAACCATTTTTTATGTTGGCTAATCTACAGGCAAACCCTTTTCTCATAAACAACAGCATTCTTGTACAATGAATTTCAGTATTAACCCTGGTCTTGTTATGCAACATGTTCAAACTTGCTCTATTGTTTAGATTGTGGACTAACCTACCAGTCACCCTTAAGCTTACAGAACCCGGTAAGAGGGTTTGTCATTATATAGTACGGCCATCCGTAAGTAGACGCAGCAAATTTCATATAATGAGCAGCATTTTCTAACTCGGCATCCAAATCATTAGCCTGGAAACACAAGCAAAATGTGCATTAGATCGAGTCATTTCTGGTACAAAATCAATGAACAGGATCAACCAAGTGTCTCCTACTGTATTTTAGCTATTGGAGCAAGAGTGAGTGAGTGCACTTTAGCCTAAGGGGCAAATTCAACTTTAGGGAATTTTCTGGGAACCCCATTTGAGGTGGGCCAAAGGGGAAAAGATAAACATTTTTAGCTCAAAGTTTTTACTGCCCATTATTGAGCTTCGGGAGAAGATGTTTAACCTTCAGAATGAAAGAACACCATAGAAAGGTGGGAAATTACTCAATTATGGGATAATGAGGAAGAGTCTATGACATTACAGGAGAAACCACAGAGTCTGGGTTTGTTCTCAGGACAGCCAAAAACTCCTTGAACAGGGTTTATTTCTGTTTTCCCTACACTTCAAATCACCCACCGTGCGGACTGCGCTTCCTCATCACATCAGTATTCCACAGCAGTTGGCAAATTGTGGGTTGGTCAAGTCAAAAAGGATACCTGCCAAATCCCCTTGTTCCCTTCCTTTTCCCATTCATTCCCCACCCTCAACTCCAGCCGACAAGGAAAATACGGCTGACGGCCTTTCCTGAAGACAGGGGCCTGGCGAGACCCAGGCTGGTCGGTGAGGCTCGAATATGCTCCTAACAGATATGGTTCACTGCAGTTCTTCACCCTTTGCTTACTTCCAAATTCACTTTAATGCCATACTCCACTGTCCTTTCTATAGTAAGGATCAGCAGCTGGCATCCAAGGGCCAAATCAAGCCCCCTGAGCATCTGGACAGAATTCCAACTGCCAATTGAATGGCTAACAAAACCAGTGGCGTGGGAATAGGGCTAGTCCACTTAGACGAATCTGGGATGGTGGCAGTGGGTATCCTTTCAGAGGCAGTGGTGGTGGTGCATGTTCATGCATAACTTGATTTCAAAGGGAAGGGAAAAATTACAACTGAATCGGTTCCATGGAATTTCCAAAGCAAAGCCTGCTGCTTCTATACTGCCTCATAGCACTTAAAGCACTCTCTGGGTGGCTTACAGTTTAAATATGCAGGCCCTCCCCGCCATGTCAAATTGCTGACCTTGAAAGGATGGAAGGCTGAGTCAACTTTCAGCCAGCTACCAAAGCCTGCTGGGATCCAACTGAGCTCGTGAGAAGAGTCTTGGCTGCAGCACTGCAGTCTGACCACTATGCCATGGGGCCAAAGGGATAAGGATTGCTTTGAGCGACCAAGTAGGCAGTTGCCTCAGGGAACCCATGCTGGGGGGTGGCAGCAAGGTGATGGAGGGGACGTCTGCCATCCCCATCTAAGCCTACTGCTTCCAGGTATAAGAGGGAAAGATGCTGTCCAGTTGCCAACATGGAAGGGAGATAACCACAGTCCAGTCTTTTTTTGTGTCCATGACATGGGGGGGAGGAGGCTCTCTGGATCTTCACCTCCGACAACAGAAATGTGTTCAAGCACCTTGAAAGGCCCGAGCGGCTTACCCCAGGGGATGGTGGTGACTGGACAAGAACTTCTTCCGGTTCTTTAGGGCATTTTTCTACCTTATCTTGCTCTTGGTGAAGCAGAATCAGACCTGCTGCCACATCGCTAGGCACAAGGTCGGTGTCCTACGGAGAGTGATAAATTTTATATATACAACACGCTTTGTCACCTACCTCCCTTCCTCCCTTCCTTCCTTAAAAAGACAAATAAATAATGGAGTTCTACATTAATGACTCTTAACAAGGCACAGGTGACTTATGTGCAAAAATCATTGCAATACGATCTATTTAGGCTCTGAACTAATACATTACATCCTGTTCTGACATTTTCCCCTGATATCACAGAATTTCTTTCTAAAGGAAATGCCACTTGTTGGAAACCTTTCTTTCGAATGCTCTGTGCTCGACTGAGATCATCTGGGTATCCACAAAAATCCAGGAAGAAGAGGATGGAGAAAGAACATAGGAAAATAAAATCTTACAGCGAAGTAACCACGGAAAAGTTCAGCGATGCTTGTAAAAGCTACGCGGTGGTCATCATCTTGCACGATGCAACAACACATCAAACGGATCCTTTTCTCCCACACTCGAGTGGCCGTCTTCTTGACATTGTAAAAAAGCTGCCCAGTCTGGCTGCTCTCCAGGTCGCGATCGGCACAGTGAGTAATGTACAGAGTTTTCTTCCCACCGAGCGGATCAAAGACCATCACAATGGCCGCAACTGTGACGACGATGATAACCCAGCTGCCAAAGAGAACACAGGATGACCGTGCTAGGTGCAGTTCAAAACATTCTGGATATTCCACAAACAAAGCCATGTTTGAGTAGTCCATATAGGAGAAAGATGCAAGACAAACTCTCCCTCCACTGCCAACCTACCGTACACATGCTGTGAGTAACACAAGAGCTTAGACATAATGGAGTGCAAGTAAAAACATCTTTGTAAGACAGGGATATGGGTGCGATTTTTGTGTCATAGTATTGAAGAGACCCTTGTCCAGCAGGCTGAGGCAAAGAGGCAGTCCCGAAACCAGCAAAATCAGGAGCTGGATAGGGGACAGATTGTATTTGCCTTCAGTGTGGAAGGGATTGTCACTCTCGAATTGGCCTCCTCAGCCACACTAGATGCTGTTCCAAGACCTCCATTCAGAGCACGTTCCCATCGTCTCTCGAGACTGAAGGATGCTTCATCCAATGACAGCCTGTGGTGCTCTCTCTTCTTTCACATAATCAATTAAAATTCAGTTGCTGCTTCTGAAACAGTTGTTGGGGGGATCATTTTGAAGAACTGGAAAGCATTTTCCTATTTTTGCACTCATTTTAAACCGGGCAGTAAAAAAAATACAAAAGGAACACACCAGTAAGGCACAAAGAAGCAAAAGAAGTAACAGCTGTGCTGGCACAAAATGAATTCTAAACCCCATCCCGGTGTGATACTTTTATAAAACATAAAAGGCACCCCAAAAGTGTGCAGAGGCCCAACTAAAGGCGAAACCTTTCAAGAATGTTACCCCTTTATTAGGTGAAATGCTAAAAGTAAGGAAGGGAAGGAGAAAAAAAGAGGAGAAGGCTGATCTTAAGGCCTCCGCTACAGTGGCCACGTGACCACGGAAACTGTCTTTGGACAAATGCTGGCTCTACGGCTTGGAGACGGTGCTAGGAAGGCTGATCTTAAGGCCTCCCCTACAGTGGCCACGTGACCACGGAAACTCTTCGGACAAATGCTGGCTCTACGGCTTGGAGACGGGGATGAGCACCGTGCCCTATAGTCAGACAAGACTGGACTAAATGCCAAGGGGAACCTTTACCTTACAGGATTTTCATGATGTAACAGAGGAGAAATGCAGTATCCAAGAAACGGATTTCGTTAAGTGATGTGGGGTTAGGGTTCATCTAGGATAGCCAGAGATTCACACAGATTCTAACTTTGGAAAGTTAGAAAAATTAGGTCCTTCCTTTTAGACAATATAAATCCTCCAAAGTGAACATAACATTGCATCCATCTTGTCTGGGTTGGTGGGAAACAGTAAGCTATTAATAAGGCATTACTTTTGAACTGGCAGGTACAGTGGGAAAAAAAGTCACTATTGCTTATTGTGCAAAATTACAGGGATTTAAAGGTGTCCCACCACAAAACTGCTCAGTGGCTCTAAGGCCACATCAACGGCAAGTGGGGGATGTAGCCCGGTTGACCACACATTCCCCACATGTCTGCCTAAGCAGACCAGCAGTGTGGCTGTCCTGTGTCAGCTGGAGATGTCACACGTTGAACCTGGAACCTTCCGCATGCAACACAAAAAGCACATACTCCACTCAGGTTACAAACGTCTACCTCTCGTAACAGCGAGAGCCGTCCACAACGCACAGAATAAAAGAGAACTCTGTCCAAGAAATGAAGCAATTTGATTTGAGCATCTGTAAGTTCCAGTTATTATTACCCCACCGCATGTACTCCATCCACCAAGAGGCTTGAAATGTTCTCACCTGGCAATGACGGTTCCAAATATGGCACTGATCACCGTTTTTTCACAATTTACTTTGTGGTCAGACACCCAGACAGCTCCCACGACCGCCCAGACCAGTTCTGGCAAGAAAAGGCCCAGACGCAGGTACAGCAACTTTGGGAGAGATTTCCTTGGTCCAGGGTTGGAAATTGTTCCTGAAACATATAATTATAAACCACCAAAGATTACAGCACCAGACCAGGACATGGGATGCCAGGGTCCACACTGTCATTAAGTCATGAAACTCATCGAGACAGTGAACTTGTCACACTCTCTCAGACTACAGTAGGGCTCCGTATCGACAAGGACTGGTTACAAGCTCCACCTGTGGATTTTGAAAACTGTGGATAATTTGTTGTTTAGTCGTTAATTCGTAGGGCTGCCTCTGGAAAGTGCTGGACAACTTCAGCCGGTCCAAAAACACGGCTGCCAGATTGCTGACTGGGATTGGTCACAGGGATCCCATAACATCCCCCCGACCCCCTGTTACAACAGCTCCACCGGCTGCCCATCTACTTCCTGACACAATTCGAAGTGCTGATTCCAACCTATAAAGCCCTAAACGGCGTGGATCCAAGCTACCTCAAGGATTGTGTCACCCTTTATGAGCCTGCTCAGGTCATCCGAGGAGGCCTTTCTCTCAGTCCCACCACCTGAGTTTGGTGGGTACACAGGAGAGGGCCTTCGCTGTTGCTGATCCCAGATTTTGGAACTCCCTCCCACGGGAGGGAGAGGGCCTTCGCTGTTGCTGATCACAGATTTTGGAACTCCCTCCCACAGGCTGGCCTCATCTCTGCTGGCTTTCTGCATGTGAAGACATTTCCCTTAATGCCTGAGTGGGGAACTTAAATGGATAGTTGTGCCTTACTGCTTTCAGTGTGTTTTTGGTGTTGCTTTAGTTTACTATCTTGTAGCGTGGTATTTGTTTCATCCTTTTAAATTATTTCTACACTTACTGTTTTCAGTTTTAATTATTGTCTTTTAATGATGTAAGCTGCCTTGGGTCCTTCTTGAAGAGAAAGGCAGGATAAAATATTTTGAATAAATAAATAAATAAAACAATTCCTAACCGTTATTTATTTCTTTAAGACTTGCTGTTAATTATTAACCGACCATTAACAGCTGCTGCTACTATATAAAACTGAACATCTGAATCATCATTAACTAGATTCTGTACAATGCAACAGAACAGGTTCTGTTGTTTGCTTACCACTCACTCCTTCTAATGGCAATACATTATTGACAACTTGTAAGCAATTCTTATTCTTATTCTTATTCTTATTCTTATTATTAATTGTATTTATACCCCGCCTATCTAGTCATTTCGACCACTCTAGGCGGCTTACAACATAAAACATAACAAGTTCAAGAAAAATTTATAACAATTAATTAAATGATTTTGCAATGGAAAAAATACAAAATAAATCAAATAAAGAGGGAAAAAAAGGAAAGAGGACAGGAATTAACTGGAAAGGAAGGCCTGCTTATACATCCACGTTTTTAGTTGGTTCTTAAAAGTACCCAGCAAAGGTGCAGCGCGAATCTCCGGAGGTAGGTTATTCCAGAGGCGAGGAGCCACTGCTGAGAAGGCCCAGATAGATGTTGCCTTTTTTTTAGACATCCAAACTCAACAGGCAACTCAATTAATTTAGTCCTGAAGTTATGGGGAAAAACATTTACCTTGCATGCTGATATACAAAATAGAAGACAGAGCGCATATTACGGCTGCCAGGAGGAACAGAAGGACAAGAAGATAGCTGTGTAGCAAAGGACCTCCTGCACAGTTATATTGTCCTTTGTGTATGGAATACAGCACCAGAATGCCAATCCACCTGTGGGTATAAAAAGGAACAACAACAAAAAACCACACACAAAACCAGAAAACTACAGTTAGGGGAAAATATTCATAGGTACATTACAGCTTGGTTGCAAAAATTCTATTCATATCTATAGAGAAATATGTGGTATAAGCTTCCACCTTCCTCCACCCAGATTCATGCTTCACTTGGTAATTCATAAGAGTACACAGAAAGAGAAATCTTCTATAATTAGTCCAACCCAATTGGTTGATTGATCTTCCTGTAAGGAGTTAGACCACAGCAAAAGGAGCCATCATTCTCTGAATGCCCCATTTAAACCAGTGAAGTACTGTAATCCCTCTCTCAAATTGTATTACTCCACCCATCTGCTGAGTGGCAACAAATAATTAACATTACACAGCCACTCAAGTCTGCTTAAGGACTAGCATTTACAGAGTACAGAGACTGTCAGAATGAGATCTGACCGGTAGACCTCATACTTCCACATAGGATACAAAATTAAATCTAACAGTTTTGCAAAATATTTTTCTACCCTGCTTATTCTCCCTCCATTTGTTTTTTTAAGTTTCTAAGAGCAAACAATAATCCTTGAACAACAGTGTTATCTTTCTGACAACCTTAATCTAGAAACCACTCTGAGCACCGTTCTTTGAAAGAAAGGTGTGGTATGTATGTACGAACGAACGAAATGATCTTTTATTAGAACCCTCCTAAACTGCTACTGTACTTACACTGTACAGTATCGAACACTTGCTAGGAAAACTGAAAGCTGGAATTAACTGCTTTTGCAACACATGGTGTAAAACTAAACTATTATATTTGCTGTAAATATTTGCATTCATTTGCGAGGAGAGCAAAAACACCTTGCCGAGAGCTCACTGTCAACAGAAAAGTAAAATGTAAGCAGCCTTGCTCTCTGCTTGAAGTTGACAGTAAAAGTGGACTCTCAGCAATACCTCGCCTCAGAAGACTTGGGGATATGAGGTCAGGGTTGCCTGGATATAGGATTACCTGCTATCTAATACTGATCTAGTAACATGTTTTCAGAGCTGTAGAGAAACGCTTAGCGGTGAAGATTCTGTTTTGCTGCCACCACGATTAGCCTTCAGCTACGTTGTGGTTTGTAAAAGTCTCCCTTCACGTTTCATCTGATTCCCAGCTTGGAAATAACATTGACAGGTTACATGTAATGCATTAAAACCAAGGAAGATAAGCCAGTGGATACATCTAAAGAACAACATTTTGAAACTCATGTTTCAAACATTTTAAATTTACTTTCAAAACACATTTTAAAAAGATTTTATGCATTCTTCCTGTTTAATACAAAACTTAAAACAACATGTTGAAAGCAATATGTTAAAATGCTGTATTTCCAAGCTCTAAACTGATCCCACCCCCTAAAATATTTCTTGTAGGTGGCTAATGAATTTTGGCTTGCTTTGAACCACAATGTGTCATTATGCTTACTCTGGAACAGGAACTGATAAAAGGGACAGCAGAAAACACATTCGAAAAGAGGAAACAAACTGCACTTCGTTTCATCATCCAGGGGACAAGTTAAGGTTAAAGCACAACAAACATTGTCTGCAACAAACCTAGCTGACATTGACTATGGTTTAGCATGACATGCAAGTAACATGGCCATGGCTTCACCTGACACATGAATACAGTCAGCGACTATGATTTGCAGAAAACTTGGGCCAACAATCAGACTCCCACAGAACACACTGAAGTCTATATTCTGCCCTTGCAGAAAGTACAGAGTGAATTTACAGCAGATACCCCTGACATTCCTTGACAATCACCAATTCAAGCAGTTTTGTAAGAATATTAGTCTATAACTGCTTTACACCAAGCTGTAAGCAAGAGGTACATATGGCATAGAGCCTTCTGTAAAAAAGCAACAGGTTTAACATGTTATGTTTTGTTTAACATATCAAACAGATATATTATTATGTTCCAGAATGACAAGTGCTGGGGAATGACACTGGGTGTGGATTACCTATTATTCTCTTCATGCCTTGACTGTTTGTGTCCTGGAGGCATTTGACTAGCAAACCTAGAAAACCGGATGTTCTACTAGATAACCCTTTAGTCTGATCCATGAGAGTACGCTTATGAATCTTCTGATCTAGAATATATCAGATTTCATCTGATATCCTTAAACAAAAAAGATAATTTCAGCACTAGAAAATGCTTGTCATATGAATTACTGTTTGTAACACATTCGTTTTTACATTTTGTCACCTTTCATGCTTCATCTTCACCTAAAATGGGAATTCACTAGATTCTCAGGTAGGTGATCAAAGAGTTTAATGGAAGACTTCCACTACAAATTTGAAACAAATTCAATCCAGGATTAATGCCACTGCTTTCCATAAAGAAGGCCAGAAACCGAAACTTGTAAAGATAAGAACATTTTCCTGGAAATCCTTAGCTACTTTATAAAACTCCAGGAATCAGATTCCTTGATTGGGAGTCAGAACAACTAAGAACATAGGATGAGCTATGCAGGATCTGACTGTAGGGCTCTCTAGTGAAGCATTCTGTTTGTTACAGTGGTCATCCCACAGCTTATGGGAAGCCTACAAGCAGGACGTGAGAGTAATAGCATCCTCCCACTTATGCTCCCCAGCAACTGCCACTGAGAGGCTTACTGACACAGATTCTGGAAGTAATATATAGCCATCATGACTACTGGCCATGGATAGCCTTATCCTTCTAAAGCTGTCCATGCTTGTGCCCACTGCTACATCTCAGGGCAGCAAATTCACTGGCTTAACTATATTCCGCCTGAAATCTTTCTTTTTGCCTACATAAACAAGATTGAAAACTCATTTATATTTGCGTCAAAGTTTTAGAGTGCCCAGGCTCTCCTTTGAGACACAGGTGGATGAGACTTAGAGCTTTCTGCAGATAAAGTTTTGCCTTACTTCAGTGTGCCCCATGAAAAAATAACAGTTTCCCAATGAACAAAATACAATTCCTTGAATTAACGAGGTAGTACCCAATTGTGACAAGAGTAAATCTTACCAAATCACCCTGATGAAAAGTTCAAAAGCTCCTGGGAAGACAAAGTCATCACTGCCTATGGCCCAGCGCCTCCCAAACATCACCATGCCAGGCATTGTGGAAACCTTTTGCTGTAGCCAGTCTTCCCAACTCCTGCAGAAGAAGATAAAAACAGTACCAACAGAATCTCACTAGTGCTTCTCCCAAGCACAAATATCAGCCTGTGGCAAATAAAATGAAGCTAATTCAACGACTTGTTGATCTGATTTGAGCCTTTTTCTCCTCTTTCTCTTTCCCAGGAGCCTGGCTGGCTAGTGAATTCTGGAAATTGTAATCCAAAGAAGTAACTTATCCAACCCTTGTTCCTACCCATCCTTAAACTCGAGAGTACTGATCAGAATTTAGGTCTAATGAAGCATGGCAACAGATACTGTATACATATTTTTGCTCCTTTCCAAAGTGCAAATACTCTGATGATTGGCACACTTTCAAACTTTCATAATTTCTTCCATATTTTACTTCCTGCCCAACCCCAACGCTTACATTATCTTCTAGTTCTCCTTTCCAACACAACAATTGTGATCGACCTGAACATCCATCCATCTCTTTTCACTTTACTGTTTGTTTGTGCCCAAGGACTCAAGAAAACCATCAGTGATTGAAGAGGCCTCCCTCAGCTCACACATTAGAAACAGAGTCAAAAGAGTACCACAGCACCTTAAGAGACCAAAGATTTATCATTGTGTTAGCTTCTGTGGACTGCTGAAGGCAGTTTTGGTCAATAAAAGTTTACAACACTGTCAGCCATGCTTTATCTGTAAAGTGCTAGAAGACTTAGGTTACTGAAAAGAGACCACCTTAAAGCCTAACTCATTTTACTGAGGTAGAAATCTTTCAGGAGCTGCAGCCCACTTTAAGCCCACGAACCCGTTTACTGTATTTGCTGTGACAAATTTACAGTTAACAACCCCAGCCAAAGTCCGAAGAGCTTCCTTCCAAGTCAACAACTTCACAACTGCAAAGATAAAAAGGGGCACTTTATAGATGAGATTAACAAACTGCACTGACTGAAGCAATTAAGTCCATTGACCCTTCTTTGTACAAAAATCTGAAATGGTCCACACATAGGGAGCTCTTCCAAAACAACACGGAGTGCTGCAATACTTTCTTTTTTTCAAAAAAAGTTTTTTTTTAAAATACCATGGAAAAAGAGACCGTTCTTTAGTATCTCCATTATTAAAGCTTTATTGATATATTTTTCAAAAAGCTTTAAATGCAGTACATTCAGCATCCTGACAGCTGCCTGTCACATTCCACACCGGCGTTTGCCGCCTTAAGTCCTATTACAGCAATTACTATGTGTGGAGTGTGTTTATTTATTTAAAATATCCGTACTCTCCTTAAAAAGGGCCCAAGGGGGCTTACATCATGAAAAGAAAAAAAATATTTAAAGCCGTTTACTGGAACAGACCGAAGCAGAAACTGCCTCACAACAGTAACCACAACACCTAGCATGCAGGGGCTCCCTTTAACTCAATTTTTATTTAATGAGAGAGTCCCTCCTTTTTCCCCCCCTTACAGAGTCCGCCTCAAACGCCCTCCTTTTTCCTTTCCCACAAAACAAAGGGATTAAATAACCCTCACCACACAAGCAACCCTTTCCCCTCAGCTAACCCACATGCCCAAGGACCCCCCTCCCCGCCCCCCAAAAAAACCCTTCCAACCGCCACTTTCCGGCAACAAACCTGCCCTCTTGCGCCACAGCGCCCCCTACGGAGGCCTCCGAATTGCCAGCCTCTTTTCCGCCCCAGGTGAGGACGCTCTGCACCCGCACCCCCCGGCGCCCCCTCGCTCTCCCCAAAGGAGGTCACCTCCTGCCAATCCGGCGTCAAGACGCACTGACGTTCCACGCCGCGCTCCGGCCTCTGATCACCATTCCCCCCCCCCCACGCCTTCTCCCACTCCACGCACGCGCCTCCGCTTTCTGGGCCGGCGGCTAGTGCGCGCGCATGCGCGCTACTCCGGAGCATGGGCTCGGTCTCCTATTGTTGTCGCCCGTGTGGGAAGAGGCGCATGCGCGTTAGGCGGGAGCCTATGTGTGTGTAGAGGCTCTCGTCAGAGTCCTCCAAATGCCCCGGGGCGCCGTGGCAACGTTGGAAAGAAACGAGATTAAACTGTTCAGAGGCTCCCGTTCGCTAAAATAATAAATAACGGGCACCTTTAAGAGTCCCTCTCTATTCTCACGATTACGTCTGATGAAGGGGACCCTGTTCCACGAAAGCTTCCATTGCAATACATAGCATTTAGTCTTTAAGGCGCCACACCGACTTTTTTTTCCTTCCTGCTTTTGTTGTGTTTCGTTTTCTGTTTGTTGTTGCTGTAATTCTGAAACCTATCTAGAGGAAATTGCGTTGTTTTTATTGCCCAACTAGCCTGCCATCTTTTTTACGCGTATTCCCCCCCCCCCTTTAAGGATCTTTGGCACCTGAGGGGATTTATTAACCCGATGCACTTGCTAGTTCTCCCGATTTCCTCGCTCCATGACTTGCACCAGTCAGGAAGAGGCATTCACATGTGGCAGCCAGGGATCACGTGTTTTACAGTATCACTAGGGAGACCCTAGTTTTTGCCTTCAAGGTCTTCCTAGTCTGGGCAGATGTGGGGCAAAGCTGTCCAGAAACCCCTTTTGCTGTGAATGAGATGCTAGTCACACAGTAACACATGGGAGAGATTGCTCTGAGAAATCTCATCAGGGTCACCACCTTCATTAATCCGCTCAGAGACCCCCCCCCAAAAAAAAACATGAAAGCAAGGACAGATACCTTTATTGGAAAAAAAAAACACACTATCAGATAAACTTTTTTGGGGGAGGGGGAAACTAGCTTTCAACCTGTACCAGTCTTCATCTGACTGCACACCAATATATAGTGGGTGGTGCAGGAAAAAAATCCAATTTGCTGGAAGATACAACATAACTTACGATGCTCTGGTGTAGGTATAAGCCCTCTAATAATGCTACCTGATATATAATGTGTATGTTTTTGTACATGTAATATGTGTAGCATTCCAAGTAGTTAGTTTGTATTGCTTTGTTGCAAAGTCTGATACTTTGTACCTCTGAAAGTGATGCACATGTATTTATTATATACACTGTATATTTATACTGTATATATGTACTAAGGAAGAACCTTAACCAGGAAGCCTGTTCCGCTTAACAGAATCTTTTTCTTAAAATGGCATGCTAATGAGCAAGAAGTCACGTAACACCTCTGCATGAATGAAACAACTCCTAAAACACTGTGATATGTTTAAGACTAGCAGATTTTTTCCAGTGTGAGTTTCGTTTACAATCCGCTTCTTCAGACACATTATATCAACATTCCTTAAAACACTGTCTAGGTTCTCACATAAGGCTCAACTAAAGCTTGTGCCATATTAATTGATTTGATTTATATATTCCCCAAAGATGTCTCACAACCTTTCAGTAATCACAACTGAGAACCGTAATCTCTCTTCCTCTACATTTAGTGCTCAAAAGACAGGTGGAAGAAAAAAAGACACATACTGAGCTGCTTAGACAACTCACAGGTTTGTGTATTTCATGTATTTAATATTCCCTACCTCTCTCTTCAGTTTGAAATACTTGCCCCCACCTTACCTCCACACATTCTCTGTGCAACTCTTAAGTCTTTACATGTATCTTATATCAGTTAAATATGAATGATATTTTATACAAGCTACAAAGTAAGCGTAAGGTCTGGCTGCATAGTGATATGCAAGAGCTCACAAATGCACATAAGGCAAAAGAATCATACTCACAATTTTTAAGAAAAATCAGCAGCAGATTTTGGCTCTACCTGCTGCTTTCAAATATTGCTTAGTATCAATGTAATTTTGTGAAACTGGGCATGACACTTGTAGTCAAGGGGTCATTATTACTGTATACTTCTTTGCCAGAAATTTGTTCTCAATCTAAGCACTTAATGAATGAGACACAGCAATATAGTGAGAAAATATATTTGTAACAGAAATTACACATACATGTGAGCAATAAGCAAGAATCGAGGCACAGTGCTGCATTCCTCCAGACTGGAGTTTAATATGTGATTCACCCTTCACAATTCTGAATAAGGATGATCTTTTTTTAAGTCTCTGCACCATTGTTTCACCATTTTCTCCTATCAATAACTGTTTCCTCCATTTGGGAGGAAATTTCAGCATGGTGAAAAGCTCTGGAAACACTTTATTTAGACCTCTCCAGCATATGAATAAGAAATGTAATTTGGGTAACTAATAATTATCTATGCACTTCAGTAATTAGAGGATTTTATGCTTTAATAGACACAGACGATCAGCTTTGTGGTACATAATCATCACCCATTAAAGCAGGCAGGTAAATTAAGTATGCAGATTCAAGTGGCTCATATACTATTTCACACAAACATTTTTCAGCCTTCTAATTGCCAAGTACATCACAGTAGGACCATCATATCTGCAGGATGAGTGTGCACAGTTTCACTTATCCATTGCCTGGGAAAGAAAGAAAAGAAAAAACCCAGAAGTGCACATTCCTAAAGGTGCATTACTAGGACTGGTGACTAGGTGGAAACAGACTATATACAGGTGGCTTAATTGAAGTGCACTCATAGCCTGATGTCTTGGAGCAGCAGCAGCTTTGGGTGAAATGGAGAAGCTGCATTGGTGGGGGTGGGAGTTGCTAGTTTCAGGAAAGGCTCCCTTGTGGGGGAAAAAAGGGGGCAGGAAACCCCGTCTTTGGCAAGACTGGGCCAGGGCACTCTCAACCATATACAGGGACACCAAAGAAACTAGACGCAAGTGCTTCACTGATCATCCTAAGTTTACCCTTACATCAGTTACCAATATAGGAAAATACACATTGCTGTTAAGATTTAACTGTTTTTTAGGACTGTGCCTAGCTTGCAGGTAAGTTTTTCATTTAAAAAATAATAATAATCAGACTTGATCAAGCTCATCTTTCAAAACAACTGTATGTCACAATGATTCATCGTGAGAGGTTGAAGCAGAGCGACGGCTCCAGGACACCACCACAAGGGTATAACCACTTCATAAAATGTTTATTGAGGATGGTAACACAGGGCAAGTCATGCAACAGCTCATTAAAAAAGGGAACCATGTAAAAATGATAAAGAAGAGTACTTGGTGCTCCTATTTCAGGAATAAGTTTATAAAAATGCCTCTATAATCATCCAAAACTGGCACATCTAAAACTGTTTGAAAAATGAACAATGGGTGTTACCTGTAAAAGTATTTGAATTAGAAAAGCTGTAGATATTGTTTAAAATGGCCATCTACAGATTACTTCAACTGGACAAGTATCACAGGTTCATCCTGGCAGCTGCAACACTGAAGGTGCTGTTAACAGAAATAGAGCTTTATGCACCCCAAAAATGTGGAACAGTTTTCTCCTGAATGACAAATATCTGCCTGGAAACCACATAAAGCAAATAATTCTATAGTCAGAAGAACCTACACTGGCACCAAATACTCTCAAGCTAATGTCTTCCGAAGTTTAACGGAGGTAGAGGACAATAAGCATTAGCAGATATTACAGGATAATCCTTATTTTTAAAAGAGAGGGGGGAACTATGACTGAGGACATTAATGAAATGATGATATCCTACCCACAAGAATTTTCTGCCATTTCTAGTTTGATTTCAGTTGACATACAACATCCAGCCTCTGGAGAAAAAAATAAATACAGTGGAATGAAATTTGCAATCAACCAGAAGACTGGTTACCATCCATCAGCTGGCACATCCCTTGCGTGCCCCCAAATAAAGTTGTCAGAATTTAAAAAGAATCCTCTGAAAATAAGAAGTGTTTGCGCTTATTCCTGTTCATAAACAAGCCCACAAAAACCTCACTTTTTTGGAACAATTCCAATTTGAAACTACACACTGAATTAAATTCACGCAGTATTAAGTTTCTTTATGTAAAAAATCTTTATACATAGTAATAAAAAAAGATAAAGGCAAGATGCATCAAACAGAAGTCCGCTGGTTGTTCTCCGGTCCTACGAAGCCCGCCTGTGACTCTCTGCAAGAAGGGTGGGAGACTCGCTGTCTCAAGCATCTTCACCTTTTTTGCTTGTGGTAAGGATTGTTCTGTCTTAGCATCCAGGATGACAGATGCTGGTGATTGGTTTTGGCACTTACGCTGGCAAACTGAGCTTCTTTCCTTTGAGTACTAAGAAAATGAGGAGAAAAATCAAGGCATCATTAAAATTATACAAGCTAAGAGATATACACACACTATCGTTGTTCCGATATAAAGGTAAACACGAGCAGCTGTGGTTAGGCTATTTGGCTAGAACGCATGAAAGCAGCAGAGCAAAACCTATGGAGAGCCACATCTGCCCATGCCTGATGAAAGGTGTTTACTGAACATGAATAAAACAGAAGCACGTAATCTCAGCTGCTCCCACTCCCACCTAGGAAGGAAAGGGGAAGGGGGAAATGGCCCAGGAAAGCAAAAGCGGGTCGGGACTGCAGTAGCCCTTCAAGGCTCATTCACACAGAATACGGCTTCTTTCTCACATTTTAATCTGGAATTCATGCTAGTCATATGTTGCTTTTAAAGAAAAAAATAGGATTAATTCATTTAGTAGATTACTGAAAAAATTACACTCTATCATTTCTAAAAAAATATCCTTTAATTAGCTGCCTCTCTTTTTCACTCTCAACTAAATACAGTCAGGATTTTAAAAGCTCAAGTTTAGACATTTTAGCTTCCCATTAGCTGATTTCATCTAGAACCCATTTACTCGACTTTCTAAGAGATGTACAGTACCCCTTAAACTCCTCCAACACCATATTTCAAATGAATCTATTTTTCCTGTCGTCTTTCTTAACTGCGGGTGAAGTAAAAAAGTACTCTCTGATTATGCCTGGGAGCGGGACAGTTCCTACCCTCATTCATCCAAAACGGTTACTGGACCATCTTGGACTAGTCACTATCTCTTAGCATAAGTTATCTCTCAAAGTTATTGTGAAAATAAAACTGAAGATGGAAGAGAGATGCCATGTAGACTGCCCTGAGTTCCTTAGAGGAAGGAAAAATAAAATTGTAATTGAGAAATTAAAACAATCTGCTCTGAAAGTAGACTTAAGGACCATGAGGTTGGTCTTCAGAAGAATTACGGTTGATTGTCCAGATCCTGTGTATATCTTAATCCAACTCAACTGTTTAAGGCTTTCTTATGTTGTGAATGTGAAATTGTTTAATTAAGACACAGAGCTTCCTTCTCTTGCATTCACACCCTCACATGGCAACTACATTCTAGTCAAACCACATAACAGGGATAACTAGTTCAGCTTCCCCATTTCTGCGCAGGAAGACATTCCAAAGGACCTCATTGTTTGTTATAATGGGGATATAATGGGTAATCGGTGCTCCGCAGGATCCTTCCTTATATTTCTGACCTTGAATGGATGCATTTGTTTCACGCTCCCTGTGAATCCAGAAAGCTAACAAACTAGCCTGACTATGTTTATTTTACATGACAATAAAGGTTTATTCTTCTTCTTCTTATATTTCTATCAGAATTACAAATTCTAATTTCTGATGAGGTCATTTATATAAATATCACAGGATTGGAATCTGAGCAAAATAAACACCCCAAGTGATGAAACCAAGACCTAGATGTGAGCATGGGTAACAAACTAACCTGACTATGTTTATTTTACATGGCAATAAAGGTTTATTCTTCTTCTTATATTTCTACCAGAATTACAAATTCTTATTTCTGATGAGGTCATTTATATAAATATCACAGGATTGGAATCTGAGCATAATAAACACCCCAAGTGATGAAACCAAGATCTAGATGTGAGCATTGACACTTAGGCATTGGTAAGAATTAAACAGCGTTCCGTGTCTAAATCACACTGGCCATGTGACCACGGAAAGATTGTCTTCGGACAAACACTGGCTCTATGGCTTGAAGAGCGGGATGAGCGCCGCCCTCTAGAAAATAAACACCCCAAGTGATGAAACCAAGACCTAGATGTGAGCATGGACACTTAGGCATTGGTAAGAATTAATATGATGCCCATTTTGTTCTGGATATTCCTTCTCCATAATGAAATGGGAAATGCTAATGTAGGAACTCGGCACACTGGGATGAACATGAATATAAAATTAAGAGATGGTACAATGTATGAAAAGATCTAGACCAGGGTCCTCCGAACAAGGCATGGGTTTTCCTTACAACTATGTGTGGTTAGAAACTGGCTTGTCACACAGCAGTATACATGTAGATGTAAGCTGTGAAATTTGTGTACGCAGTGAAATTCTCTGATTATGACAGGGTTCGATTTAGTGGTACAGGAAGTTCAGGAGAGTCCAGAAACACAGGCAGCTGGAGCCATCTGTATCAATAAATGAAGAGCAGATCTGTAAAGTTAATGGCTCTCAGTGACCCATTCAAAACAAGGCAACCCTCAAATATATTACATTACAACAAAAATATATTGCAAAAATGCAGTTCCTCTTCTGCTACTGTGAGGACTCCTATAAGGTTAGAGGAAAAAAGGGAAGTCTGACTAGGGCATGATGTCCTAGTCCCTCCTACTCAAAGTCCCAGGGGCTCTGACCTTTTGAACCTGGCCCCACAACAACACTGGGTTCCACATACAGAATTAATACAGATTTTATAATGATAGCAGGCATGAACATAACAACCTAGCCTCAAACTATGCAAATCTAGCACACATCTAGAAAAACAAAGAATTTAACAATTTCTAAAAATGGTAAGATGTAGAATTCTAGAGAAAAAGTCTAAAGCAGATTTCACCTTGTGGGTTTTTTTTTAAAAAAAATCATCAACAGCCCAGAACAGAGTGGAAGAAAAATAGAGAATGTCCATGCTAGTTCTAGTCTTGAGGACAATACTTTACAGTAAACTAGATGCAGTATTAAAAATACAGGGGAAACACCCAACAGGGATCCAAAACACATGTCCAGATCTCCAGAGGAGGAAAACTGCCTCTCGCGGCTTACCTTTCGTAACGTACAAATAGAAGAAGTCACAGTACAGAATGGTCTGGACCACGCCAGCAACAACGGCGATGAGATCAAAGAATCCCTCAAAGTAGTAGCGCCAGATCCAATTGATAAGGTATAAGGCACGGTAGAGGCCCAAAAAGAAAAGATAGTGAGTAGTGATGGTCTCTGCTTCCCCAGTTTTACTAATCATGAAAAGCTGAGGAAGAATAGCAACCGACTCTAAGTAGATGGAGAAGGTCCACAAGATCTGGAAGAAGAAAAAGATGCTGGAATTATACCATTTTCAAGAGCCTCCACAGTTACTTCTGGAAAGCATGTGGTACTGAGCAGTTTTGGATACTGAAATTTTTTACATTGTTGTACAAAAGCAATAATCTGCTATGTTAGATTTCAGAACGACCATATAAAATACAAAATACAAAAAAAAAAATTTAATCACATGGTCAAACAAGGCTGTGTAATTAAGCAACACATGTTTGACAACAACCCACAGTTTTCTGATAAAGTGCTAGAAACCTGCAGAAACAGGAAATGTTCATTACAGGGAAAATCCAAATCTACCACAATTAAGTATAGTATTCTGAACAGATAAGTGTGTGGTTTAATTTGTTAGAAGCATTTATTTCATTTTTCTATTAAAGGAAATGTTCATAAATGCATTATTTTTTCTGTTTTTAAAATGTTTAGTGATATTTGTGTGAGAAAACCAAAGCTGCATGTTTGTTTATTTTTCCCATTGTTATATAAATGAACAGAATGGGTGTAGGAAAAAAATCAAATAAATTATTTTTCCAGGCTCTTTAGAGGAAGACCAACATGGCTGAAATGCTGTTGCTTTGTGCAGTATATTGCACTAGAGTAGGCCCACTGACTCAGTAGGGATTTGGTGAGTCAACTGTTATGTAAGTTCCATTGATTCAAATGGGCCTATTCCAGTGCAATATACTATATTAAGCAACAGGATTTCAGTCAATAAATACAGGGATATATCCACATATACAGAAGAACAGCATCAGTCTCATCAAATCACAGGAGGGCTAAACGCAAGATACATACAGTGGTGCCTCGCACAACGGGTGTGCAAGATACATATTTCTCTTCTCTTCCTTCACAATTGCTGTTCTTCTTTACGTCTCTAGATGGCACCAAACACTTCCCTTACAATAGGGAAAATGAACCAGATCAATTTCCTATTCTGTTAATAAACTGAAAATATAAAAATATTTAAATAACTAAAGCTGAAGTTCTACTTTTCCTGAGGATTACACACTCTAAAACTTGGTGGCTGAAATCCTGTAGATTAGTATACTAAATTGTAATTACAGCAAGTTTACTGAAGAAGTGGGGATTTGGTAAGTAAACTCCTATGTAAGTTCCTGTGATTCAACGGGTATATTCTAGTTATAATTTACTGTACTAAGCAACATGATTTCAGCCAGTATGACTTAATTCTGAGCAGATACAGGACTGCAATGTAATGATATTCATGGCAACTACAACAATTATCTCTGCACTGTTTCAGAAACAAATACAGCAAACCTATCAGCCAACACATGCTTTGAACTGGGGCTGACACACCTATCAGCACTTCTAATTTCGGCACCTCTTTGGTTTACGGTTATGATGTAGATGAAACCAAGCTAGTGGCTCTGGAACCTCCCATTAAGGTACTGCCCACAAAGGGAAGGCCCTCCTCAAACCCTGCTCTCCCCTAGGGACATTCTCCTCAAACACAAATAAAGTAGGGATGGTGGCATCTGAGTAGGATCGGATTGAAGCCTCCCCCCCCAATGGATGCCTAAAAGCACAGGTATCGAAACATTATATATTAAGTTATTAAGATCAGCAGAGGTGACCCACCCCCTCGGTCCCATTGCCAGTACAAGCACAGCTGATGGGGACACAGGAGAGAGTCTTCTCAATGGTAGCTCCCAGGCTATGGAATGCTGTACCTCAGGAGATCACGATGGCCTCTTCCCTTTTATCTTTTCACAAAAAGGCCAAAGACCTGTTTCTTCAGGCTTTTAACAGTTATAACTTAATCCCTGAACCCCATTTTAGAAGATAATTTTAAACATTTCATGTTTTAATCTTTGAATTTTAATTTAATCCATATATAGTTTAATTTATAGTTTAATTTGTCTTTTAATATTTAATTTCATTGTGCTTTTAGTTGTGTGAATTTTAATGTTGTGAGCCGCTTTGGGTCCCTTGTTGGGAGAAATGCAGCATATAAATAAAATTAATAATATTAATAATATATATCAAGTGTCTGGTTCCCTCTAGTGTCCAGTTCTGGTGATACATCTTGGAAGCACGTACTGTACTGTATTTCCCGGGGGGGGGGGGGGGGTTTTTATTTTTTTAGACGCGGTCCTACTGTAGTTCGGAATGAATGACACATAGTTCTATGCTGGGGTGCACCTTCTTCGTCAAATTTCAGAACCCAAAATGTCATGAAGAGACTAACCTCTACAGGAGAAAAGTCATGATTGACAAGGAAAGACAGTCCACCAACTGGAACCACAAGGAACTCCACTCTAAATGTATCATGGTTTCCATCATAGGTAGCCTTAAATTTCATGTAGATCAGGTAGACTGTGGCATACGAGCAAGCAATGTAGATAAGCTGCAAGGAAGAGATCCAGATGTGTTATCAGCTTTAATCTGTTTCCCCTCCCTTAAAAAACATTTTATACATACAATAAGGAAAAAAAAAGAATCTTTATTGATTGTTCAGGCCTGTCTCTCTGGCCCCCATCTTGCTAAGTTACATTCAGTCTGTATGTTGCATTACCTACAGAAATTAAAAATTGACTATCTGTTTTTTCCTTAAGACTAGCTCTTTCATGTGATGGGAAAAGGTTACATGGAATACAAAAAGGTACAGGGCTTCCTCCCTCCCTCCCATACCAACCCACTGATGGGTTGTGTTCTATCAGAAATTTGAGGAAAGACAGAAATAGTTATGGTCTGAAGTCAAGACAATTTTTTTACTTCTGATGCTGCAGCACCAATTATAGGCACTTGGTTGTAAGAGCCTCAATGAATCCCTCACTATCAGAGCCAGTACAGACAATAATGCAGTCTAATGCATGCCCATTGCTACACATGACAATATTATTTGTCTTTTTTGTCATGGAAGTAGCTACTGCAATCCATACATGAGATTCCCTAATAATAGTAATAAATTTAAAAAATTATTGCAATACTGTAATTGGCAAAAATCTTTAGTTGGCATTATAGCTGTTACTTGATCAAATATGTTTTAGATTAAATCTGCGTAACAGGTCAAAATGAGAATTTCTTGAACAAGAAGCATTCATTCCCAAGATTTTGCTTGCTACCTGTGATGTCTATAAATATTTCTACCATTAACTTTACAACAAATTGCATAGATATGTCAACATCATTATCTCCACAGCACAGATAAGTGACTGAGACCCTATGGCTTGTGTAGAGGAGACCTGGTAACACTTTGGCTCAAGAATAATGCAACCAGGAATTTTCTAGTTCATTTCCACAAAACATTCACTTCCTCTGAAACATTTAAGCCCTACACCAGATCTGGTTGGTAACAAACTTCTATAAATGTTTACTTACAAGCAAATCTCAATGGAATTAGAAAGAATGTAACAATTATTAGAGAAGTAATTGTTATTATTTGTAATAATAGTTATTCTTGTTGCTGTTAAGTGCCTTAAACAGGGAATGTACATACCCATTTCTGGACTCTGGAAAGCCACAATTGCCCCCCAAATTCCCTACGTGCCCCCAAACAGTCTTATAAAAAGCAAGGGTTTTACCTGAAAAACTCTCCTTGTGTTTTATTTTTTAAATTAAGAATTGGAAGGTGTAGAATGTCCCTGGATACTGTCACCCTCTCAAAACATGGCAAAATTGCGTACCAAACCCCTTGCGGGCCCAAAAGGTCTTTCTAAACCCATTTTTTCTTTGAAAGTTTTTCAAACAGGTAAGAGTGGGCACACTAGAGGTACCCATAGGAACCCCTTGAGGGCCACATGTTGCCCACGCCACCTTAAAGTTTAAGGTATTATACAAATATATATATTTTTAAAGGCCATAATACATATAGACAGGTTAACATATGCCTGAGGATGTGGACAAGATCCCCATTCTGTGCTGGATTCCTGCCCTTCCTGGCTCACAGAAACAGCCGCAGAGGGACTGCGTAAGGAGGCAGAAGGAGTGGCAAATCCTTGCAGCAAAGCAGGTTTACAGCATGGTTACAGGAGGCCATAGCAAAACTGCTGTTGGAAGAGCCCTTCCTGAACCCCACTATACGAGACAATTACCAGCTAGTCAACAAAATGTTCTCTTTTTTTGGGACACGTTGTTGGGTTGTCCCAAAAAAGCTTCTCCGCTCCTGGGGTTCCTGGATGAGGTGGACCTGAATCCACCACTTCAATCCAAATTCAGGACTGGTCATGGGCAACAACAATGCGGCGGCCAGACTCCTCAGTGGAGTGAGAAAATACCAGCATATTTCTCCTACGCTGGCCATGCTGCACTGGCTGCCCATTCATTTCTGCATCAACTTTAAAGTTCTAATGCTCATTTATAAGGCCCAAAATGGTTTAGGACCTCGATATTTGGTGGAACGCCCAAGGTCTACCCGGATCACCCGTGCGAGCCAGGAGGTGAGGCTGAGGAGCCTGACGCCGAGAGAGGCCTGGAAGGAAAAGACATGAAACCGGGCCTTCTCGGCGGTTGCTCCTCCCCTCTGGAACAATCTACCTCCTGAGATTCGCGTGGCCCCCACTTTGGGCACTTTTAAAAGTCAACTAAAAACATGGTTGTACATCCACGCCTTCCCTCCAGCTAATATCTGATTTTTTTTGTTATTCCCCCTATTTATTCTCTATTCTATTTTATTGTATTTGTTATAATCTGATCTATATAATATTTTGTATTATTTATTGTTTATTGGAAGGCGCCTAGAGTGGCCTTATAGGCCAGATGGGTGGGGTATAAATCAAATAAATAAATAAATAAAACAGCTTTTGAGACCACTGACCATCTTCTAGACGGTCTCTCTGAGACGGGATATGTAGGCGCGGGTTTAGGGTGGCTCTGGTCCTTCCTGGGGAGGCAATCTGAGAAGGCAGTCCTGCGAGTCTGTCAGTTTGGCCTGTCGCCTGTAGTGCCCATCGGATTCTCTTTTGTCATATATTTAACATATACATTAAACCACTGGGAGAGCTTGTTCAGAGTGTTGGGAGTTCCAGCATGTAGATCACACCCAACTCTATCCCTCCCTTCCACTAATTCCAAGGACGTTACTGTTCTAAACCACTATCTGTTTTCAGTAAAAGACTGAATGAGGGCAAACAGGCTGTAGCTCAATCCAGACATGATACAGGTCTTCCTGGTCAACTGAAAGATGGATAGGGGATGTGCTGGATGGAGTTACACTCTCCCTGACAATTCAGACTCGCAAGTCGAGTGCACCTCTAGACTCATCCCCAAACCTGGATGCTCAGGTCTTAGCAGCAGTCAAGCACACATCTGCACAGTTAAATCTGTTGCATCTGGCAATGTCTGATTTGTTTATGGTGACACATGCCTTAGTTACATCTTACTTGGATGACATATAACACACTACATGGGATTGCTTTAGATTAGAAGAATGCTTGGAAACTTTAGATGGTTCAAAATGCTGATGAAACCTCTTACCACAGCTTCATTGGCTCTTCCTGGCCTGTTTCCATGTTGAATTTAAACTGCTGGTTATGACCTATAAAGTCCTAATCAGCTTGGCACAAGGACCATGTCTTCCCACCATAAGAGCCTCCTTAGCTCCTAAGATTTATTTTGATACTATTGAATGTTCAATTGTTTTAATGTAATCATTTAATGTAGTATTTTGTATCAGTTAGTGAGCTGCTTTGGGTCCCCTTGCTGTGAGAAAGGGAGCATAAAAATAAAAATAAATTCATAAATAAATAAATAAATACAGTAGAATACATACAATACAAAGGAGAACGGGACAAGTGGCAACAGGAACTGGTAAAGTCTCTGGAGGGACAATAATGTGAAGTGCCCATTTCCCCAGGGATTAGCTGTTAATACTGCTTTAGCTGTTCCAGCTGCTGCTCTTTATAACCAAAGGAGAGAACAGCAGCCCCCCCACCCCGAAGAGGGCTATACAGCAAACATAGCCAAGTGCCACCAGATGTTTTGAATTCTAAGGGCAGACATCTCTTCAGCCACAATGCTGAGAGGTCTGTGGATTTTTGTTCTTCCTAGTGGCAAGCACAAATCAGGTTGCAAGCGTGCTCTGATCACAACATAAATTATATGCATTTTTTTTCTTTAGGAGGCTGGAGCAGAGTTTGCTCCATAGATTCAATTCAATGTTCAGTTTTTTCCCCAATTTTGGAAGGAGGTCACCTTAAACCAAATGTTGCCATATTCCAGACAAAAATATTGTATGCTGCCATTATTAACAAATGGCGATATGGAGCGATGACTTTCCTAAGGTCACATACACTGCATCAGTCAGAATCCAGGATACTGCCTAGCACAGCTTAGGGAATGTTGGACCTTCCACTTCCTGCCGCTGATCCAAACTGCAATCAGACAACACTGGACACAGCTTAGGGAATGTAGGACCTTCCACTTCCTGCCGCGTCACCACTGCTGTTATCACCCATCATTCACACTGATCCAAACTGCAATCAGACAACACTGGGAGGGTCACATATCCTTCTCCGTGTTCTAACCCAGTTGGCCACTGTAACTCCAAGGCAACATTTACAATTCTCCGCTCACTGTCAATAAAGCATACTCCCAGGAAAAGAAGGCTTTCAAGTGGGCAGAAAGGGCAACAGGATGACAACAATATTGCTGCAGCTGTGGTATTTAAGCAGCCACTCAGACAACTACCTAGGAAGCTGTGCTCAAAATACTACAGCACCAGGAAAAAATAACAAGGTGAAATAGGACAGTCTTTGATTTTTATTTTTGTTTGGTTTTACTGTTTAGGTTTTATCGCTAGCTCTGAATATTTTAAGATTCTACACTGGAAACTGCTATTCTGCTGAGTCAGATCCTCAGCCATCTAGGCTATTACAATCAACTCTGACTAGCACCAGTTCCCCAGGTTCGAGAACTTACTTTTTTTGGTTTCTATTGTAGAATTTATGATCTGATTGTATCCGTCGTCATATTTGTGAACTGCCCTCCCACAGATGGATAGCCTGGCCCCATCTTTATTGTCCTTCTACATGCTGATGAAAGCCTTTCTCTTTAGGTAAGCTTTTCCTGAGCAAGTGGCTACCTAATGAGTTTTTTTAATGGATTGTTCTACCTTATTGCTTTGAATGTGGTTTTGGTGTTGCTTATGTTCTTTCTATGGTATTTGTTTTATCCTTTTTAGTATTTGTACATTCACTGTTGTTAGCTTTAATATTGTCTTTTAATGATGATAGCCACTAGAGATGGGGATATTCGTATTTGTATACGAATATCCCCCCCAGCAGGTGGAAATAATGAGGATCCAGCCCCAACCAGCCAGACTGTCCATTCACCATTTCGCAGCTGATGCCAGCTGGACAGAGCCCTCCTATCATGGTGTTGTACACAATGGATTAGCCACTCTGCGACCTGGCAGAGAGGTTTGTCATCCCGCCTCCCGCCAAGAGTCGCTAATCTACTGCGGATAACAGCGACACTCATTATTTCCACCTGTGGGGAGATATTCGTATACGAATACCCCAATATCTAATAGCCACATTGGGTCTTTTTAAGGAGAAAGGTGGGCTAAACATATTTTAAATAAATATTGCTGGTTAGGCAGTACATATAAACAATTTTAATAAATTAGAGCTCTTATAACAGGCTTAGGCAGACTTGATTTGTGAAGCCAATTTGTTTTAAAAAAACACTCTGAAACCCTCAAGACAAGTAACCAGTCAGGCACAAAATGGGGTTTCAGATGGATGTATGCTAAGAATTAAGGTGCACAAAGCTCTTAAGTTCTTTAACACACTGAAACAAAGAGGCTGAATAACAGCAAGAATCACTGCCATCCAAATTCTTTTCTGAACTATGACCATTACGGCTAAACAGAGAACTTTGACTGTTATGAAATAAATGAACTAACAAATACTGATAAGAATGCTGTAACAGAGGAAAACGTGGTTGGACTTCAGCTTCTTACTACTTCTGAGAGCTGTATTTGTATCAAGCTCTCATATGGGACTCCCAGGAAGGTCCCAGACAGGGAAAAGGTCAGATCTGCATCAAGTGAACTTTATTTATCGCCTCTGAAACATTAGGTGACTTTAAAAAATTAAATTGCCTTTTATCATTTTCTGTTATGCATATAGCACTTGACAATGCACTCTATAATGCAATTTTAGCCAATCCAGAGTTTATATTTTTATAAACAACTTACAGTATTACCACTGCAAATATAGATGAATTAAACTAGAGATACGAAACTGTAGGTTCCTATATGGGCTAGAGCTGATGGGAATTCTAGTCCAGCAATACCTAAGAGCAGCATATATTCCCCAACTCCACAAAAATATGTAAGTGACTAAGCAGAATTCCCAGGAGTCAGAGGACAAAGATGTATCTTTATTCCTAAAATTTTGAAATCCCTTCCTTTCTACAGCCCTCACCTCCTTCCCTCTGATCTTAACTATTCTCTTATCCTCTCCCCATCCTTCCTTCAGTTTCTGACAAGAACACAGACTCTGGGTAAATTTAAGATTTTGGGAACACTCAACAGGTTTTATAAAGCAAATAGATGTACACTAGCAAGAATCTGCCTGTACTTTGGAATTTTTATTGCCACCAGCAGATAGAGATGATAGAGATGCACATCAGTCTCTAAGAAAAGCTTCAAATGGCCAAAGAAAGCCACATCAGGTGTACTCAGGAGACACCAGCTAATGCCTTGTTGCTTTGTGTAAGAGAATTACACTTGGAGCAGGAATGTTAAATAACATACTAATGGCTACAGAAAGATTGACAATAGCAAAAAAGTAGTGTCTGATCATCAGCTGGGGCATTAACAATTCAAAGCTATCAAGGCCATACAGCAAACTGCATTTCTCAAATGGCTTCAACTCTCCTTTGCCAAGCAGTTCCTGACATGAAAAATGGAGAATGTTCTTCTTGAACTGAGACTCATAAGACACAAGATACCATCGATAACTAGTAGTACAAAGTGAATTTACTGTAGTTTTTGCAGGGATGGTGCTGGAGACTGTGATTTTGGTCACTGAAAATCATCTTTTTGAAGTTCTATCTCCTAGTTTGCTCAGTTTGGTTTAGAAAAAACTCCCCTGGTGAATGGAATGCTCATTTGGTAAATGAGAGGGCAAAAGAAACTAAGAAGTCAGGACAACCTCTGAATTTGTAATCCTGCTACTTTTCTAGAGTTGCAAATCCCCTCTCATCATTATGTTTTAACAGAAGGTAACAGGAGATAATATCTTGTAGATTTATAGGGAGAATATACTTTATGGTAGTTACTACTCATTAAGATGCATATTATGGGGAAATTAGCACCCCTCCTTAGTTATTCAATATACCGTACCTTCATAGAAGTGTTATAAAGGGAAATGAATGAAGTGAATAGATCCAGGTAACGAGTGGTGAAGACCAGTGCAAACAGAAGCTGGCTTTTCCCAGATATACCTAAAACAACAAAGAAAGAATTATGAAAAAAAGGTATTTAAAACTATACACTGCGCAAATACCTTTAAAAAGTTATCCAAAATCATTTTATATCCATGACAAAAGAATAATGTGGGAGAAGCCTGAGCACATCCATCCAGACTTTTGAGAATTTAAACATTTCAGTTATCTCCATCTATATCAGTAATATTCTGATTTCCTACTTTTATTACTAACAACTTTTATTTAAAACCACCTATGCATGATTAAAAGAACTGACACTGATTAAAAGAAGAGCACGGGCTATTGGGTACCAGTTGTCGGGAAGCACTGTACTTCCATCTGATAGCTAAAGAGGACCATGGACCTATTCCACAAATTCTTTATTATCATACAGCATCTTTCTATAACCTTCAGTGAACACAAAAGTAATTTCACTTGGTGGCTTTTGTGCTACCTGTGGGCTCGGACAAAAGCAGTACACACCTGAGTCTTAGAGGCAGTGCATGGAGCAGTCCTGGGCACCTAATCCAGTTCTATAACTAGGAAGAGTGGAGCTTGTCTTCTAAGGAGGCTGGCTAAAGGCTACAGTTCAGTTTCCATTAGCCTCTACCCTCATACCATTCTCCTCCAATGGCCATGGAGGAGAATGACGGGCCAAGTTATACTATCACTCAAGCCCTGGTCTTTGCCTCAAGACCTTACGATGTTCAATAAATGTGTGGCTTATTTCTATCTCAACTGTGTGTCAGCCAACTTTATTGCACCCACCTCCCAAAAGGATCACAGAAGTGTTTATCTAGGTGTGTGGGGAGGCCCCACTAGCGCTTACACAAGTTTGTGAGAAATTCCCACAGAAGCAAGCTCCAGGACCTAAGCCACTCATAGTTCATTAAACCCACCTCCCAAGCAGCCATCTGCCCTGGGAGCGCCTAAAGTTCAACACAGTGGCCTGATGTTTTGTCATCCACCATTATCTTGAGCACATTTAAACACACACCCATCCCCCTTGGAAGTGTGTTTACAACTGAAGCTCTGACAGGCAACACCATTAAAAACCTACTTTCCACTACAGGAAGTTCACAGGTCACATTTTTCTAAAGATTATGCATCAATGGGTGCAAAAATAGGGAGTGAATACACGCCTCATTACATTATTATAATGTGGTGTCACATGTCCCAATTTATTAGCTCTGTTCCATGCAGCACAAAGTGAACAAAGTATTTTTCAGCATGGTAAAAACAAAGCACTGTAGGCAACACATGACTAAGCCTGTGGGTTTTTTGTTTTGTTTTGGCATGATATCAGTTAAAAGAGGAGGCAATCTATTTATATACTACAGTGGTGCCTCAACTTACAATTTTAATTGGTTCCGGAACTCCAGTCATAACTCAAAATGGTCATAAGTCAAAGCACCATTTTCCATAGCAATGCACTGAAATTCAATTAATCCGTTCCAGTCAAAGAAAAAAAATCACAAAAAAACCCCACCAAAAACAAAACAAAACAATGCAAGACCATCGGAAACACAATGAATCCGTTCCGGCTGAAGGAAAAAAAATTTAAAAAAGCAAACAAACCATTGCAAGACCATTGGAAACGCGATGAATCCGTTCCGGCTGAAGGAAAAAAAAAATAAAAATTAAAAAAGCAAACAAACCATGCAAGACCCTTCGGAAATGCAAAAAAAAGCAAAGGAAAAAAGCAAACAGACACTTCAAGACCCTTTGGAAATGCAAAAAAAGCTAACAGCAAACAGACACTGCAAGACCCTTCGGAAATGCAAAAAAAGCAAAGCAAACAAACCCTGCAAGACCCATCGGAAATGGGAAAAAAGAAAACCAAAAAGCAAACAAACCCTGCAAGACCCTCGGAAATGGGGGGATACCCCAAAAAGCAAACAAACCCTGCAAGACCCATTGGAAACGTGAAGAAACCCCCCACAAAATAAACAAAGACTGCAAGATCCATCACAGCATAGAAACATAACCCCACCAGCCCAAAACCATGCTGCAAAACCCACCCAGAACAGTTTTTAAAAAGCAGAAAGCAGTACCTTACCAGGCAGTCCGAAGCCTCCTCCAATCGCACACACTCTAACTGCTGGGGCAAAAGAGCTACAAAGAAGCAGCCTCTTTGCTACCAACTGTTAGCAATCTGAATTCCCTGCCTTTTTTTCAATTGTAAATTGAACCTCCACCCACAAGTCGAAGCAAAATTTTGCGGCTGGAGCTGGTCATAACTCAAAATGGTCGTATGTCGGGACATTCATAAGTCCAGGCACCACTGTTGACTTTTTGCCAAGGTACTCAAGACCATTTTCAATATTAAACAATGGCACACTATCATGATACAAAAAGAAAAGTGATAGGGAGGGCAAAAAGAAAAAAGGAAATACAAATGCCAGGTCTTCCAGAGTTGTCTCACAATTATCACTGCAGGCAAAATGGAACTAGGAAAAATAATTTTGAGACAGGAGGAGCCAAAGGGTAACTGGTCTTGATCTAGCACAGTTTGTCTTGCGGCCTCATCTCTCACTCAGACAGATGTGATGCTGCTGGATGATTATGAAAACCTCAGACATTGACTTACAATACTAAGGAAGACATGAAAATGTGTCTGACAGCAATAAGACATCGTATTTAAAATAAGCTTGCTTCTTATGGGATACTTCTTAAGTTTGTTATGTGCTATCAAAGTTGCCATCTAATTGCTATAAAATTGACCCTAATAGGGGTTTCAAGTATGTGAGAAATTTAAGGAGTGATTTCACCAATGCTACCACCTCCACAAGTAAGCTTTCATGGTCAAGTGGGGATTTAAATCCGGGTCTCTGGAATTCTAGCCTATCATTCTATTAACTACACTAGTAGTTTCCAACCTTGGGTCCCCAGATATTCTTGAATTACAACTCCTAGGAATTTTGGCCAGCACAGCTAACGGTGAAAGCTTCTAGGAGTTTTAGTCCAAGAGCACCTAGGAACCCAAGGCTGGAATCACTGCACTACACCATAGTGACTCTCATCTCTTTTATTTTCTTTCTCAGTAGTTTAGGTATCGGGCTACAGAGGTTCGGAGTTCCATTCGCCCTCTGCCTCTTTTGACTCAATGATCCTTAGGGTCCCTTACAGCTTTGCAGTTCAAAGATTTTAATTTATGGTAGACTCTCATTCCTTGGCTTTTATTCAAAATAGACAAACTAACTAAAGCAGCTAAATTGTAATGAAAGCAACAAAGAGTCTTTTGGCATTTTATCTTGTTTTTGCTGCAACAGAGTAACAATGACTACCTGTTCTGCTACGCTAGGGTGCAATGGTGTTGCTGGTTAAAATTTTGTTTCTCGCTTAACCACTTTCCTATAGAGAGACACAGTGCCATCTATGACCTCCTGTCACCCTGCTGCAACTGTTATATTAAAGTCACATTTTTACTTACCTCACTCTGAACCTAGTCATGTATATTTGATGTGTTGTCAAATCAACAATGCCAGTGCTGAACTACAAGTTTTCAAAGTACTGTAATCACAATAATGGAGAGGTAATAATTGATTTATAAAGATACTGTCACCATTTATAAACTGAATGAACAAAATATCTGTCCCTGCAAACCTTGCCCCTTTGCAGCCAGAACCTTAAGAAGGAGTAATAGAAAATCCCTATACTGTATTGAGACCCCATTGTTGTTATTGCTTTTGTTATTGTTATTGTATACTCTGTGCAAGGAACTGTTTGTTTGCTAGGTTAAGTTAGAAAGACCTCACTTAATGCTACAGTACTTCTGTACTGAAAGTCATATAAAACACACACATGCACATACTTAGGAACAAGGTTAACCAGAACTGTTACATGAATGTTATCATATATTACTTTCGATAAATCACATTGATACTATGGCACCCATATAACAGCTCAATCTTGTGCATGCTTATTCAGAAGAAAAATATGTGCAAACATGCATAGATATGATGCAGGCCAGTTAAAATCCTGTGCAGAAAATCTCACTGAATTAACTCAGTTGCTTCTGAACAAGCATGCCATAGGATCAGGCTGTACAGGTGATGACTATGTTTTGTCTGCAAAACAACTATGAGCTTTTAGGCTAGGCTCAAAAAATACAGTTCGTAATGGCTCTCCATGTGAGAGGGCTCATAGATTTTCTCCCCAAGTCTGGTAACTTATCTACAGTAATAAAATACCAAGCAATTATTCAACTGTAACTGATCCAGGTTGTCACGAGACAGCTTTCTGTCCTCCTTACAGAGTGCACTGCTTCAAACAAAACTACAGTACCAACAAGAGCCATCAGTTTGGAATAGTGCTTAGGACATAAGAATTCTGTCCAACATTCAAACAAGACGTGGGTATCTAAATAAACATAAGTAGATTACTTTAAAAAAACAACAACCCTGGAACATAGAAGGGAAAACATCAGCAATGAAACCTCCCTCAAAAAAAAAGAAAAAGAATTAAACAGCCCAATTGACATTATATTTTTCTTTGAAAGAGAAATACCTTTCAGGCATAAGTACCTTCAAGCTGAACAAAAAGAAATTTACACTTCTACTGAAAAAAACAGGCACAAGAGTGCAGCAAAGATACAAGTTGCATTTCTCTTCCAGGCTCACCACACCTTCTGTTAGCTGCCACGTCACACTAGGCCAGGAATCCCAATTGAAAGCCTATTCTCTCTAGTCTTGATTCAGTCATTTGCTTCCAGCTTTCAACTGCAGTTGGCAATGCAACCCACAGAGCTTGCCAAGCCTTCAAATCAAGCTGGATCACTGTTTAACCCCTTCAGAGAGAAAAAAAGCATGTGGGGTCTCTTGAGAAGTTTAAAGGCTTCAGGACTTCAGAAGTTGCAAATACTGAATGAAAAGCTGACATTACTACAACATCTGTGCAATTTGAAATAACAAAGCATGTTCAGGAACACACATACAATTTAAGTATTAACTCTTCTCTTCTGAAACTACTTCTACAGAATGGTCTTAATTAGACAAGTTTGGTTCCTCTTTTCCACAGAACTCCAGAATCATGAAAGCTCTAGTCTCAGAAAGGCAAACCAGCAATTCCTTTTGCTCCCTTCTAAATTAAATTTATTTTTGCACATCAGCTCTGTAAAGAATAAACACACTAACTGTAGGATGAAAGTGGAGGGGAAACCATTCACTTTTGCTTGAGCTACACCAAGGACTTTGCTAGTACACTTTCTCCGTTAACAAATCACATTCCTGTGCTCATTTAGAACAGAAAAGGAGACCGTTATTTGACCTGATCATTTCTAATCAGTGAGGAATTAAAAGACTGCCTAGATGTTGACCCCTTTGTAAGCCTGTCCCTCATTTAGCATCAATTTCACCAGCACTAAGGGATCTCTGTAAGATGCTAACAAAAACCAATTACTCTACTTAGTTTAATTCACATGGGATCTGCATAAGTGAATTCTTCCATAACATCATCTACTGATGTTTAAAACTCTAATTTAATATTAAAACAATTTTCCCTATAGTTCAAAAGCTGAGAACACAGCAAAAGATAAGAATATATTCAGGTATTACAATGGCTTGCCCTATTTTCCACTGTTTTCTTTTAAGGAGCCCTCACCTCAGTCAAACTTCCAATACTGTACCACACAAGCTTCCACAGAATACTTTCTCCCATTCAAAACAGGTGCATGTCTAAATTGGTAGATTCTAATTCCAACCTTCCTTCATTGGCAACTTGAGAGGATGAGGAGCAAACTGGCTGATGTGAAGCACAATGTCACACAATAAGTCAGGAGGGAATCTGAACCCACATCCTGGTGCAACCACCCAACACATTGCCTTTCCTTACACAGTACCCTGTGTCCTGCAAACATCCAATGGACCTTTTAAACACTCAGAAGAAAAAAAAAGCAGAGAGCTAGTTTTACAAAGGCAAACCAACATTTCCTTTTGCTTCCTTCTAAGTTAAATTTATTTTTGCACATCAGCTCTATAAAGAATAAACACTTTCTCAGTTCTAAGCTCCTGCCCCCCCCAAATTCTTCCCACCTGAATGCAAAGCTGTCCCTTCTCTGTGCATTAAAGAAGAGTGCAAACCATCAGACCACCCAAACCACACCCCGAGAAAGTTTGTGCAGGCTTCTCCATCCTTGGAATGTGCACCCCACCCCAACACAAGGAAGCTTTTTTTTTTTTGCATACATGCATCCCAGCAAAAATCCTCCACACCCACAGCCCACCTCACAAGCTTCCTCACCCAAGGTAATGCTTCCAAGTTACTCCATGCAGGAGGCTACTGCCATCACCCATTACTCCATCAACCCCTCACCTGAATACAACGCCCCAGAACAAAAGGGAGCATCACTCTTCAACCAACCCACACCCCCAAATGCCCACTTGAAAGCACACACACACCAAGCTGCCCTACGTATAGAGAAGATGGTCCATTCGGGC